CCATGAAAGGTGTCTGGGAATGCAATCTTCAACTTGTCTGAAGGGTGAGCCTGTGGGGCTTCGATGGTAGGTTCAGTAGCAACCTTCCCCTTCAATCCAACATTTGATCCAGTATCGTCTCCAGCCATGTTGCTTTGTGTGTAAGCGGTACCTCGTGGAAGTGGTGCTCAAAGTGTAACGCTGACTTCTAAACGATAGAAGACACAGAGGTTTCTTGCGTAAGGTTGACTTGACGGAGGAGGCAGGGGATTAGACACAAAGGCTTTTCCAAGTAACACGTTACAGTATTGTAAAGAATACTATATTGAGTTGAGCACGAAGCTCCTATCTAAGGAAATACTATCTACTTATATAGTGGCATCGTGCCTCATGGGTAATCTGGATAGTTGGCGGATAGCTAGATATTCAGGATAGTTCATGGATAGCTCAACTATCCAATATCCACTAGTTTCTGCAACTATCCATTAGCCCCGTCACATGGCAGCCTACTCCGCTTGCCCCCTGTGACTCACACACGTTACTAGGCCCTGGTCCTGTAACCATGATGTCACGTTACCATAGCCGTAACAATTTGACCTTTCTTTGTGAGATTTACCAGTGGCTTCATAATAGTAGAGTAGCTTCTTATAAACTGCCGGTAGAACACACAGAACCCAATGAAGGCTTGTGTATCTCGGAGCGACCTTGGTGCTTTCCATTCAAGTATAGTTTGGACTTTTGCGGGGTCCATTCTCATGCCGTAGATTCCAATGATAAGCCCTAGGAATTTTGTTTCTTGGACATAGAATTCACATTTTGCAATGTCTGCTTGTAGTCCAGCTTAGTGGAGCTTCTGTAAAACCATTTGCACGTGCTGGGTATGCTCAGATCGATGCGCACTATAGATGAGAAGATCATCCATATATGCTGTAACAAATTTGTTTATGTATTCCATAAAGGTTTCGTTCATATATCGCTGGAATGTTGCAGGGCCATTTGTAAGGCCAAAAGGGAGGACCTTGTACTTGTATGATCCAAATCTCGTAGAGATCTTCATCCTCTTTTGTTTGCATACAGATCTGATTAAATGCATGACGAATGTCAATCTTTGTAAGATATTTGGCACCTGTGATCTGAGCCAATGTTTCATCGATGAGGGGTAGCGGGTATGAGTCTTTTCTTGTAATGGCATTTAACTTGCGGTAATCAACACAGAATCGAAGTCCGCCACCTGGTTTGCGGATGAAAAGGACAGGAGAGGCAAAGGGAGCTTTGCTAGCTTCAATAAATCCTTTCGACAAGTTGTCGTCAATATATTTCTTCACAAGATCAAGTTCCTCCTTTGACATGTTGTAAAGGGGCGCATGTCCTAATTTCGAATCTTGTTCTAAGACGATGTGGTGGTCTGCATATCGGTGAGGGGGGAGTTCATCTGCAGCCTGCTTTGAGAACACATCGAGATATTCATAGAACTCCTTTGGGAGGATCAGTTTTGGGTTGATTTCCTTCACTTTCTCCTTTGCCTGTTCAGCGAGTATATCTTTAAATGATACTGCAAAAACCTCAGCTCCCTTCTGCTTCCGAAGCATATTAAATGATGCGGCTCCAATCATTGCGACAGTGCATGTGTTCTTGTTCTCATAAGGAGGTTGGAGGGCTGGCTTCCAAGCTTTGTCATCTTGTATTTACTTATTGACTTGGGGTAATGTAGGTTTCGGATTTTGAGTATTCGTTGGTGTAGTGTGCTGGCAATGACCTTTAGTAAATATGACTTGGTCATTTACCATATCAAGTATAACTCCATGTTGCTTCATCCAAGCCTTCCCAATAATGACAGAATGTTTCCCAAGAGTGGTGATGAATAGAGGGCATAGACTTTCAACATGGTCTTGGACCTGTAGGCGAGGGTATATAGCATGAGTGATGGGAGGGGCTGCTGTTCCATCAAAGCCTTGAATAGAGCGTGGCTTTAAAAGCTCTATTGGTGATATGCCTTCTATCTCACAAATCCGTTCTGCGTCAACAGCATTCACAAAGTTTCCTCCAGTAGCTCCAGTATCGATAAGAGCTTGTGCTTTGATTTTTTATTTTTCTATCATACAAGTAACTATGAATGGAGTATCTGGATCTAATCCAAAGCTTGAGGAAGAAGTTGCAATTCTGGCTGTCATGACTGTAATGGTGGGTGCACTAGATGTGAGAATCTAGCTACCTAAGGAAGGGATGATTTTACTAAGACAACACACTGTCTTAGGAAAAAGAGCCAAAGTGTCGTAGCTTAGACTATTCCACAACGCAGCAATCAGGTGTATGATATAGTGGAGTGGTTTAGACAAGTTGTAACAAATGTTGAGTCTGAGAACTCAGGGATAAGTCAGAGGTTAGCACCTCACTGACTTTTCAGAAACAAGGAGTAACAAGATCAATGCTTGGAAGCTTGGAAAAGACGTGGAAGTATGTGATAGTCGATTTACTGTATTGTCTGCTTGCCCTTTCGTAAGGAAAGGGCAATCCTATTTATGCTAAAGGAGTGTAGTTCTCTCATTTTCCAAGACTTTCCATGACTAACCAGGCTTGGTAACTGTAGTCGACGTAAGAGGATCCCATAGAACCATCTCCTAGGTTCCTAGCCTATAGGAAGTGAAAGGAGGTCCAAGGTCAGAGTACCCCTATAGACAGATGATGTCATAACTTAACCAATCTTGTGGGTAACTAAGGAGCAATGACGTGTAATGAATCATAGATGGTTGTAGAAGCTTTTGGAGCTATCGTTCATGTTCCTAGGCCTCTAGTTGATAGAGATATGTCATGTGTAGTATTAGCCCAGTAACTAAGGAGTGATGTCATGTAATGAATCATAGAGGGTTGTAGAGATATGCTATGTGGTCATATCGGCCCAGTAACTAAGGAGCAATGACGTGTAATGAATCATAGAGGGTTGTAGCAATCGTTGAGTAGTATTGCTCTTGTTGTTGGTGTGAAAAGCCAAAATATGTATAGTGACTTGTAGGTTTGAGGAGGAGATTTCTAAGTTTGCTCTTGAGTTTGATAGCAAACTGAGTGCAACGAATGTCAGTATGACAGATAGCTCCAAAAGCTTCTACAACCGTCTATGATTCATTACACGTCATCGCTCCTTAGTTACCCACAAGATTGGTTAAGTTATGACATCATCTGTCTATAGGGATACTCTGACCTTGGACCTCTTTTCACTTCCTATAGGCTAGGAACCTAGGAGATGGTTCTATGGGATCCTCTTACGTCGACTACAGTTACCAAGCCTGGTTAGTCATGGAAAGTCTTGGAAAATGAGAGAACTACACTCCTTTAGCATAAATAGGATTGCCCTTTCCTTACGAAAGGGCAAGCAGACAATACAGTAAATCGACTATCACATACTTCCACGTCTTTTCCAAGCTTCCAAGCATTGATCTTGTTACTCCTTGTTTCTGAAAAGTCAGTGAGGTGCTAACCTCTGACTTATCCCTGAGTTCTCAGACTCAACATTTGTTACAACTTGTCTAAACCACTCCACTATATCATACACCTGATTGCTGCATTGTGGAATAGTCTAAGCTACGACCCTTTGGCTCTTTTTCCTAAGACAGTGTGTTGTCTTAGTAAAATCATCCCTTCCTTGGGTGGCTAGATTCTCACATCTGGTGCACCCACCATTACAGCAGGGCTTTCTCTGCCATCTTCTTCAAAGGTAGAGTATTGGGATGTTCTTGGGGTAAGGATTGGGGCTCATAAGCCAGGAATTCGAGCGGCTTCGAGGCCATAACACTTATATAGAGCGACGTATGTGGATACTGCTATACTACTGTATTCGCCTTACAATTACATGACGTCTATCCAAGGTGATTACTAACTTATATTCTAAGTACAATAGGAATCTGGCTGGCTGTTAGCCTTGAACAGATAACTGTCTGACGCTGACAGTCTTACTTCCTATTTAGGAAATAGTGGGGTTCACGGCGAGCAGGGTTTGTACAGGGTTTATACAGGGTTCCTGGTCAAATTTTCTACACTAACTACATACAGGACTGTCGAATGAGGTGTCTAACACCTGCTGAATCGCTCTATTAGGTGTTAATGGCAGAGTTCAAAGCAGTCTAGATAGTTGGATTATATAAGCATTCAGTTGCGCGATATATTCATTAAGGCGATATCAAATTGGTGGCTAGATTCCATCGGCTAGCGGGCAGTTATACTCCACACGGAAATTAAATCGAGAGGCAATCCTCAGTCAAGACGCATTTCATACGGCACAGCAACAGCAAGAATAGATGTGCGACGTCGCTGTTCTCCCCAGCGACTAGCCTCCGCTCGGTACCACTCTGTACGGAGGAAGTATCCCCCCATCTAGCTAAGCGCGCCTCCGATCGGCCTCTCGCTCGCCGTGTAAGACCAGAAGACAGCCACACAGAGCCAGCAGCGGCGTAACTCCCCTAACCTCCCTGTGTCGGCCGTCTACCCCCGCGTATTTTAGGAGGGTTTTAGTCGTAAATGATGTGGTGTGGGACCTTGGATATTTGTTGTTACAGTATACTGTACTGTATACTGTATACAGTATCCAGTACAGTATACTCTACTGTATCTCTATACTGTATACTCTACTGTATCTCTATACTCTATACTCTAGAACCCTACAGACGTCGGCACGTCGGGACAAGGCCCTCAAGGGTCCTCTGTAGTCCCACAGAAATAGAGGAGAGAGAGAATACAGGAGGGTACGGGAGGGTACGGGAGGGTACGGGAGGGTACGGGGAGAGCACCACGGGTATACAGCAGCCTCGCGTCTAGCACTGTAAATAAGCACTCGATAGCGCTACAAGTACTACACACTTGCTCTCTATAGCACTATCCTACTCTAAAGACTGCACTCTAGTACTCTCCACTCTGCCGTACAGTACAACAACAATACTATATCGACTACTCTATCTACTCTACTCTATCTACTCTACTCTACTCTCTACTCTCTACTCTCTACTCTCTACTCTCTACTCTCTACTCTCTACTCTCTACTCTCTACTCTCTACTCTACCTACTCTATCTACTCTACTCTATCTACTCTACTCTCTACTCTACCACCACCGACTATATCTCACTCTACTATACTATACAACTATACAACTATAGAGCACAACAACACATCTATATTCTCTGCTTGGGTTCTCCATGGTCTACTTGCTCTCAGCCACCACTCACAATCTGCGCTTATGATCTCTCTCCCTACCCCCACTCACTCGCTTCTTTCCAGTCACGCTGCGTGGGAGCTACTGGGCCAACTGTACTGCTGCACATCTCCATGGTGGAGCATTCTAAACTCAACTACTCTACCCTCAATCAGATATACTCTTCCTTCATACTCCTTCCATTCTACCCTTCACTCTCGTCCAAACAACCACCGACACATCTTGACTGATTCCAACTATCGCTGTCGCCTCCCTCTCCGCCCTCCCCTCCCACCTCCTTCCGCCCCTTCCGCCCCTTCCGCCCACTGCTCCGTCAGCAAAATTAAAGATACAACCACCTCTCGAATACATACAACCCACCCCTTTCGCCACGATCACTCCTCGACTTCCTGTTGGACACGAAGGGACGAGGAGACACGTGGATTTCCCCCTGTGCGCGGCCACACATAATCCCCGATCAGACAGAAACTCCGCGACGACACCAACCCTTCCACCATCGCGTCGCTGAAACAAAATCCATCGTGGCCCCGTAAAAGTCATCGCGACGACTTCGACACCTCCCTCATTTCATCAGACGTTGTCTTCGGTCGCGAACTTAGTCACCCGCGATGAATAACAACGTGAACATGGCCGCCCTGAATGCGATGGGCGGCGGCGCCGTCGGCGGCGCCGTGCCCATGATGAACAACGGCGTCCCTGGAAACCAGCGCGCCTTGCCCGTGGACGACTCCCAGAAGAGGGCTCGCCTGAACACATATATCTACGAATACTTTATCTGTAACGAGATGTACGATTGCGCGAGGGCGCTCATCAATAGCGAGCAGCCCGTCAACCTCCTCAAGGGGAGCCCCAACCAGCAGCGCGATGCGAACGGGAACCCCGTCGATGGCGTTGGGTCCGACTGTATGGAGGACTCCAAGGAGGGTATCGATATGAAGAGGCCAGATGACTTACCCGCCCCCAACCTTCCTAGGGAATCTTCCGAGAGTTGCTTTCTCTTCGAGTGGTGGAGCTTGTTTTGGGATATGTTCAACGCGCAGAGGGGCAAATCCGAATCGCAAAACGCGCAGCGCTATGCAAACTACACTCAAGTAAGTCGTGTCGCAACGATATTTTGAACGCTCGGTGGCTAATATTCGTGATAGGCCCAGTCGAGGTTCAAGCAGGAGCAACAACAACAGATGCTCCGTGCGATGAGCCAAGGCGGGATGATGGGGATGCGTGGCCAGCCAAATGGCATGGGGATGGCCCCGAACGACCTTGCCCGCAAGGCTATGCAGAATAACAATCGTAATATGTATGTTGTGTCAGAAGCATTGGGATAGAACAGCGCTAATTAGAATCACAGAACTCCTCAGCAACAAATGCAGTTAATCGCACAACAACAAGCGAAGCAGCAGCAACAACAACACCAGCAGCAGATGCAACGAGACGGCTCCGATATGGACGGCAACCGCCAACAGAGGCCGCAATCACCCGGGTCGGCTGAGGGCGCGCCGTCGCCTTCGAAACGCCCCCGCCTCGAAAATGCGCCATTCAACGCGGCTCAGGGAATGATGCCGAATGGAAGAGGACAGGGAATTCTAGGCCAGCATGGTGCCGGTCCCGCTGGCAACGTCGCACCGAACGCGCAGATGCTCCTTGCCAATGGTATCAACCCTGGCAACTTGACCGCGCAACAGTTCCAGAACTTCCCTGGCCAGGCGCAGGGCCCCAAGGCCTTGCAGCAATACAACAACAACCTCGCCCAGCACCAGCAAAGCCAGATGCCCAACAAGGGAATGCCCAATCCAAATGGACCGCAAGGCCAGGGCTCTCCCATGATGCCGAACCAAGACGGCAATATTGCGGGCTACTACAACGCTGAGCCAAACGGCATGCGACCGGGGTCTAACATAGGGCCTAATAATGGTAGCCACGCCTTGCAAGACTACCAGATGCAGTTAATGCTATTGGAGCAGCAGAACAAGAAGCGACTGTTAATGGCGCGACAAGAACAGGATGGTTTGGCTAATAACCGTGACGGGTCTGGTGGACCTGGACAAGGTGGACCGGGTGGACCTGGTGGACCTAACGGACAATCTTTCCAAGTAACGTCGCCGCAGGGAGCTCGATCCGTCAACTCTCCAAATCCGAATGATATGAAGCGCGGGACACCACAGATGAACACGACCGGCGTGCCTTCTCCGCTGCCTGAAGGCCAGTCTCGCGGATCTCCTGGTTCAATGGGTTTCATGCCCGGGAACATCGACCCGAACATGGCACCTCACTTCTATGGAAAGGTCAATGGAATGGAGGGAGGCATGATTGGTGGGGTGCCGAACGTTATGCGTCCCCCGAGTTCGCACCCTACGGCATTCAACGCCAATGGCCAGCCCAATCAGCAGATGATCAACATGCAACGACAGCAGCAACAGCAGCAACAGCAACAACAGCAGCAACAGCAGCAACAGCAACAACAGCAACAACAGCAGCAAGGCAATGTCAATCAACAACAAGTCCAGGGCTGGCCTGCTGGGCCTAATGGTACCCCTATGATGCAACAAGCATCACAACCAGGGGCGCCGACACCACAGCCAGTTGGAACGCCTCAGCAACGTGCCATGCCACCGCCATCTGCTCCTGCTGTTGCTCAGGCAGCTAACGGCCGCACAACAACCTCTTCCCCGCAACAACCTGCGGCACCCCCGACTCCATCCCAAACTACCAAGGCAAACCCCAAGGCGAAGAAGGATACCAAGCCCAAGGTAATTAAACCCTGCTTTACAGCACTTATCACAGTATATTGATTGATGCTAACACTTTTTTCTCAGCGAAACACAAAGAAGGCAGCTCCCGCAGGGATAACACCCGCCGCCGAGGGTACCACGGAAGCGGCGACGCCTACGCCCGCGACGCCGATCACGCCCATGCACGCGCAGAGCTTCAACAAGAGCGGGCAGAACAACGGACAAGCGAACGGCCAGCCTGCAGCGCCGGCCGTCTCGCAGCCTCCTGTGATCACCCAGCCGCAACCGGAGCCCGTGCAGAACGGCGTGTTCTCGATGGACGATGGTAATTTCATGTCGGGCATGTCGATGGATTTCGCCAACCCCACTGCGGGCGGCGGCGACGTCCTGCAGGACTTCGACTTCGACTCGTTCCTCAATAACAACGACGATAACCCCGATAACTTCGCCTTTGACACCACCTTCCTCGATACCGAGGTTATTGCCGAGTAAAACCCTCCTGCTCCGTCTCTCGTTGCTTTATATCGAAAAAGGGGGCGTTTTGTCACACAACTCCTGTGCCCCCCGCCTCAACTCACTTCACCACTCACTCCCACTTAAAGGCGTTCATCACTGACATCACATCACACCACACAAACTACCGAGCAATATGGAGATACCTGCGAATAAATGGCGTTTTCTCGTTCGTTGTAGTCAAAGTCACCACCGGTTATACCACTCTCTGTGCATTATTCACATCCAATCATCAATCATCAATCATCGTTTTTTTAACTTGTTCACTATTCTCTCCCCTTTTCCCCATTATTCTCCTCATCAGGGTCCGGGAAGGGAGGCGCGCTGGGTCTTTGCTTTGCTTTTTTATCTTTTCTTTTTTGGGGGTTAAGATTAAAGGGGGATGGATGGGAATTTCGTGCCTTATTTTAGAGAAAGAAAAAGCTGATAGTTCTTTTTTTGATCATCGTCGTCGTCGTTGGGTTTTGGTTGTTCACCTCCACCTCCCCTCTTTTTTTGCTATGTACATGCCGTTTGTCAAAAGGGGGTCGGAAAGTTCTTTTTCGGTGTGGTCGGTTGGGGACCCCTACTCTCGCTACACGCTGTGGTGGACCCCGAGGATGCGCGGCTACGGCACAGCCTGGTGGTGGTACGCAGACGCCTCGAACAAAAAATCGCGCAAGGAAAGCAGCGAAGAGGTTTAGGGAGATGTCTTCGGAAGGGCGGGCAAGAGACGAACAGGCAAGGGGGCGAATATCGTGCACGACCGCACTATACGCATGTCTCATAATACAACGTAACGCACCACTACAGCCGCAGCGCACGACCCTCGTCAACGGCCAATAGGGGAGGGTCGGGGAGAGGGGGGGAAAGAGAGAGAGAGGGAGAGTAGTTGAGAGAGGGGAAGAAGATGGGCGGGTGGTAGGGAGTACGGGAAGGGTAGTCAGGCTGTAAGGTTCTTTAACGGTTTCAGGATCTCCCATTTATTAACGGAAAGCTGGCGTCTCGGGCGGTTGCGAAATGCGGGGATTTTAATGTTTTTGTTGTGCTGCTTTTCTCTTTGGTTTGTTGATATGTTTTTTGTTCCCCCCCCCTTCACCACTCTACTCTCCCCTCTTCTTTCTCTGAATCCGAAAGGGCTTGTGAGGGGGGAGGGACGGGGGACGGGGGACGGGGGACGGGGGACGGGGGATGGGGGATGGGGGGGTGGCTTGCGTGTAACTTGTGTTTTTTTTGGGCGCTTTTGCCACCCCGGCGAAGGGGGACATAGCTATGTCTGGCCTGGGTAGGCTGGGTTAGGGATGCCAAATGGAAAAGGGGGGGGGTGGGGAGAATGAAAGATGAATTATGGTCACCGACTTTTGCCTGTCCATGCCTATCTTGTCTGTCTGCCTGTGTCTGCATGTGTGGTGCTGGTGCTGCTGCTGATGATGATGATGATGCCAATCTCCCAGATCTGATCGTACGGTGTAGGTAGGTCCCGTGTGCAGTGCGCTGGTGTAGCGTATGACTAGATCTGATGCTGTGCCATGCGCTGCGTTGCGCTGCGTTATGCGCTGGTGTTGTGTTGTGTAGTGGTGTCGTGATCCCCTTGGCTTGGAGCCGTGATCTGACCTGATCGGGAGGATCGGATGGAAATGGCGCATCTTATCCCCTCCCGCACAGCAGCCGTACCGTCCCCCTTACAGAACGGCGTCACGACCGAGTCACGGCGGTTGGAAGGACGGTGTCGCGAGGGCATTGAAGGCGTCGCGGACTCGGATGGCTTGACTGGCGGAGTAAGCTGACCGACTGCCGATCCGACGGCGCTGGTTAACAGACCGACTCCACGCCCGTCTTACCGACGTTACACCCGTGTTTGTCACCCCCTGATCCCTCTCCCCATCACCCGGCCCCCCGATTTCCGGCACCTGACGTGGCGTCCAGATGGGGTCGGTGCGTCTGCGGCCTCGGGGACACTTGGGGATCGATCGGTCGGGGTGTGGATGTGGATGTGGAGCTGCGTAGATGTGGAGATGAGGTGTGGAAGAAGTGGGGCTGGGATGCGCTGCAGTGGGGGATGGGGATGCAAGGCGGGTGAGGGTGAGGGTGACGTGCAGGACGCAGGGAAGGGGGCGGGTGAGGGTAAGGGGGGCGGGTGAGGGTAAGGGGGGCGGGTGAGGGTAAGGGGGGCGGGTGAGGGTAAGGGGGCGGGTGAGGGTAAGGGGGGCGGCACGGGAAGGGGGGGGGTGGTAGGTGTTTAGGGAGGGAGGGAGTAGGGGAGTAGGGGAGTAGGGGAGTAGGGGAGTAGGGGTTGAGGCGGCAGGCTGGTGTGGTTGCACGGCTTGTTGGCGGTGTGACCAGGGATGGCGGGCTTCGAGAAGGGGGGCTGGAGGGGAAAGGGAGGGGAAAGGGAGGGGAGTTAGGTAGCTGAGGGGGGAAGGGGGTTTTATCTGATGCAGAGGGGAGGGTGATGGATGTTGGTGATGGGGGGTTGAATTTGGATTTATTTTTTTGGGCGGTGGAAATGGGGAGTGATATTTGAAAAATGTAAGGCTGGAGTAATGGGAGGGTTTATGTATGATGATGGTATTGTTGCACAAGAAATTACGATTTGGGAATATCAAATTTGGCTTTGTATATAGTATATTGATTTTAACATGATGTATAGTTGAGAAGATCAAAACTCCATCCCTTCCAAATAACTCGTCTTTCAGCCTCGCAGCCCTACCTCGTCATCGCATCCGTCACTTCGCGGCCCTCAGCCTCGCCCCTCCCCTCCCCACTCCCCACCAACTTCCACCAAAACACCTCTCATCCACAACCCCAGACCCATAACCCATCCATCACCCACCTTCCAGAACCCCCTCACACACCTGCATCACCCACCTACCCACCCACCCCATGTCCGCCCCCCTCCCCGGCGGCTTCCTGCCTTCCCCCCTCCCCTCCCCCACCCCCTCCACCCCCTCCATCTCCTCCCCCCACACCCACACCAGCCTCCCGCACCCGCGCCCGCGCCCCCTCCGCCCGGGCAGCGGCAGAGAAGAGACGACGCGGCGGTGGGTCGAGAATGCGTTGTTGAAGGTTTCGAGACGGTATGTGAAGAAGTTTCAGCCGGTTGAGATGAGGGGGGATGGGGGCGGGGCCGAGGCGAGGGGGTATGAGAGGATGGGGGATGTGTGTAGGGATTTGGGGGAGGTTGTAGATGTGCTTTGGAGGAGTGGGACGCGTGAGTTTTGCTATTTTCTTTTCTTTGGGATTGCTTTGGGCCCCTACGCTCGGGACGGGGACCGGCGCGGCTGCGGCTCCTTGCGTTGGGGGTGGATGGAATGTTGATGCCTGATGCTGACTTACATGATGGGGTAGCGAGTCTACAGATCCCGTACTTGTTTAATATCGCACTGGCGGTGTCGACGTATCTACCAGCCTTCCCAGCTGCGCCGGGGGCGACGTTCGAGTTATTGGGGAAGATGGACCATGCGCTTGCGAGTTTGTTGGGTGGGAAGGATATGGCGAGCGGGGAGGCGCTGCCGGGGCTGGAGGAGGAGGGGAGTGGGATGAGCAGGACGGATATGGTGAGGTGTAAGAGTATCGTTGAGCAGACACGTGTTGTCGTCGTGGAGGTTATGGGGAGGGAGGGGGAGGTGGAGGATGAGGGAAGTATGGCTACAGTGACGGAGGATGACGGGACGGATGGGGGGGATATGCAGATGGGTTGGGACGAGGAAGAACCCGAGCTGCATAACATGGATGTCGCGAAGGTTTACGAGAACACGATTGTCCGGCTCGACGAGGCGTTGAATCGCGGGACGGCGTATGATGTTGGGGCTTCGAGTTGAAGAATTCCTTTCCCAGAGTAATACTCCGAGTGACTGATGCCGAATGATCGACCGGGCATACGACAGTGTAAGGGATGCTGCCACGTGTGGCTGGGGTCGAGACATTTCGGACGGGATCTGGCAGAGAGTCATTTACAAGGCTATCCCTAGCTGTTGTTTGCTTGCTTGCTCACACCTTGCCTGTACGCCCGGGGGGAGGAGATCGCCGGAAGTGAGGACTTGCAGAATACGCGTAGCTGCATGAATGTCTTGCGGAAGCCGAAGGACAATGGATTACGTGCTTAGCGCCGTGGGTACGAGGGTATCTTGTCGGATCTGTATCTAATAATGACATAGCTGTCGTGCTTGGAGGCCGTCTTCATATTTTACCATTTCATAGGTTCTGCGTGCGCGTCACGGAATAATGCCGCAACGCCGTGCAACCGTTTACAACGCAGCCTCAGCGCCTCCTATAACCGTCATCCCTTCTGCCACCACCGCCTCGACTCTCGTAGCCACGGTCACGGTATCTATCCCTATCCCTGTCGTCACGTCTCCTTCCATCGTCTCGTGAATCGTAGTGACGCGTCTCTTTCCTGCGCGGGCTCGGACTCCTGCTTCGTGATTTTTCATTTCTTTCTGAGCTGCGACTCGGCTTGCCGCCCCTTTCCCATTCCCTCTCCCCCCGCCTCCGCAATTCTTCCTCATCATATACCATTCCGTACCTATCTCTCCTCACTCCATAGTCGTCTGCCTTATACTGCCTCTTTTTCTCCAGCCCACTCACGCCACCAAATCCGCCGCCGCCCTGCCGCCTCTTGGAGTTCGTTGCTGTGCGCCACGTGTCAGAGAGTTTCGAGACTGACTGTGAAAAGTCGACGTGAATTCGGTGGTCGTCAATAAGCACCCCTTGCATCTTGAAGTAAGCTTGCTCGCAAGAAGCCTGGTCTGCATATTCAATAAAGGCGTACTGAAGACTGTCGCCAGTCCGCTTGTCACGGATGACTTCGCAGGAGAGGATAGTGCCAAAGCGGGAGAAGATCAACTCAAGGTCCTCGTCTAGGCGGCAGTTAGCATGGTTGGGACTTGAGGCTGGATAATAGCAGTGTCTTACCTGTCGTCACTGGGTTGAGCTTGCATACAAACAAGACGTTCTCCGGAGGCTTGACTTCAGCGAATGGGAGATCGCCAACCATCTCCAGCGTGAGTGCCTGGGCCCGAGCCTCGCGCTCTCGCCGTTGCCGTTCCACGGCTTCCGGGTCCGTCGTCTCTTCGAGGTTTTCATCTTCGCCAATGCGGACCGTTGCGAGCTGCTCCTTGCTTGGGGGAGGCGACCCAGGGGGCTCAGTCAGTCCGGGTGGGTCGTCGTATGGGTCGTCAAGGACGACGGTATGTTTTATGCGGATATCCACCATAGGTCTCCCCTTCTCGTCGCATATCGCTTCGTTTATCTTCTCCAGTGAGTCAAATCCCTCAACAACCTTGCCGAATATCGCCGCTTTGCCATCCAGGTAATCCAACTCATCGCCAAGTGTAATTATAAACTGACTCCCCGCGATTAGCTTGTCGGGGTCTCGTGGCGACTGTACAGTTGCCATGCTAACTGTGCCTCGCTCTGCATGCTTCAGCTTTGGGTTTAGTTCGGCCTCGAACGTCCTCTTCGCTGGCCCATCGAGGATTCCCCATATCGAGCTTCCGCCATCGCTGTGTTTCGAGTCTGGGCCGAGTGGGTCTCCGCTCTGAAACGAGAAGTTCTTCTGCACGCCATAAACGGGCGAGAAGTTGTAGTACTTGACTTTGCAGAGCTTAAGGAAGCTATATCGAGCGGGAGTGTTAGGATCTGTGTATTCAGCTACGTGGGCGGTGCGGGGGGTAGGATATGGGGTTGCACTCACTTCTCGCAGAGCTTTGGCGCGTAATCGACGAGGAGGTCGATGACGATGTCACCAGCGGAGGTCTCCAAGAGAACACTCATGATTCCTATTGGGTCGTGAAATATTAAGCACCGTTTGATTGTGAATTGTGCTTTGCTATAATCCGGCGTCTCTATTGCACAAAAACATGTCCCAAAGCACGTATATTCGTCACTAACCAAGTAGCTTCCCCTCATAAATCGGGAGGGTCGAGCCTTGCGATCGATCGATCGGCGGTGGGGATAGGCGCCCAGCCGCCGGCTATTTACTGGAGCTCCACACACGCGCCATTCCCAACTCGGGGAAGGTTTGCTTCCTTGCTTCGTGATGCACATCATTTTATTCTTACCCAAGGGATCCCTAGTTATAAATTTAAGCATCAATTCTTAACCCCTCAGACTACTGGTAGCAAGCGGTGACTATCATTTTATTTTCAACCTCCCACAAATATACCTATCATTGTGTAACAACCTGGTCCGTGGTATGTCCGACTGAGATCTCCTGGCTGTAGGATTGAAGATTGCTCTTTGTCTCACAAGTTGGCGGTGAATGCTTGCGCACCCTGACCTTGTAACAAACAACCTATTCATGTACCATCCAATCACAAAATAGAAATTGAAAAGCAAACTAACATTTGTCTCTAGACCGTCACCATGGTCTTGGCGGCTCTCGACGGCTCATTGCAACCCCTTGGAGCACTCCCACATCATCTGCAGCACACATGTACGACTGTACGATACTGTACAAGTACATCTCTTATTTGTATATTATCCGCCTCAGAGATTTGACTGTTTTTACCTTTCCATTTGTGTCGTTGTGCAGCCTCAAAGCATCCAAGGGGTGTCGGTGAAGTGTCCTGCAAGTACACTCCGATGTACGTCTGTTGTCGCCCTGGCATAGACTAAACTTGGTCTCGGCCACATGCATTCTGAAATACCACCACTGCTGTCGCTCTTGGCAGAACCTCACCTGGGGCTTTCTTACGGTAAACGAAGCTGACCTCTTATCTTCCGTGGAAACCCCCCACATATGTAGGGTCAGGGTCCATGTGAAAGGAGGGGGCGGATTTTTTTTCGGAGACCGCCTCATATTCCCTACCTGGTGGCTGTTTAGCAATCCTCCGAACCCGCGCCCGCTTATTCCTTGGAGACCACATCCACGCTCCTTGCAACAGCGGGCAAATGTCTTGCTCAGAAGAACCAAACACAAATAAACAGGGGTGCTACTGCTTACCACGTGCTGGGGATGGGAGCGTTTGGAAACCAAGGATGGTGGGATTTGAGTAAATGCAGTTCTGAATATGGAATGAAGCAGCCCAGATACGCTCCAATGGCTAAGAATCATGGCCTCGTGCTTTATGTTACCTTACGGGTCATACGCGAGTTTGAAAGTAGTCCTTTCTGTTGCAGGTCAGGGTCAACCGTATAGATCTCGAAAATACCGGAGAGCGAGACCAACCCTGCATCTACCTACGATCACAGAATGCAAGTCATCGGCCACAGAACGTGTCTTGCTTGCCCCTCCCTATCTGCTAGAGACAGCCAGGGAACATGGGAAAGGCGATGTTTGAGCCTGCCCACGTCTGTCTTCCACAAATTGATTCATTATTAGATTTTGCCCACGACTGTTTCCTGCCAATCGATTCGTTATTAGATCCTTGTTATACTGGGAATCGAAATACTGGGATTCGGAAAGGACATTATTTCTGGCTCGAATTTCATGACAAATTTCTCACGTCGTGGACCAAAGTTTGCCGACCCAATGGCCTTCAACCGCATGAAGTCGCCGTGTTACCCTGCGTACATGAGGCCGGATTATTCTTTCATTTTATATCGTTGACATGTAAGTGCTTCTGCTGACTCATCGCCTTCCAATGCATTCATTTCCACTGTCCAAGCAGACCCAGCCATGTCCGCTCATCTGACCCGGTTCTAAAGTCCGATGCAAGAAGGGGAAGCTTCACAGCTTTTCCGTACAACGAATATATCATAAATGAGGGGCACATAGGGGCCTCTTACAGAGTGGAACAAGGCCCCTTTGGGGGTGGCCTTGCATTAGGCAAACACGAGCTCTGGCACTTGTAGAGCGCGAGTAACCGTCGAGTCTAGTAACTCTGAGAAGCTCAAAATCAATAGCTCGTTCCAGAATTACTTGCACTGAGAAAGTAAATTATTGGAGAATTTGGGGTTTGCATTCGCCATCTGTCATTCTATAAATGCATTGCTTTGACTATTAATATCACCTGCAGAGCCCGTTTAGCCCGTTGAATCGTCTTGATGATGCATTATTATCCCTGACCTGCACATCATAAATTATTCCAAAAAAGGCTATTTCTAGAGAGCTTGGCCAAGATGTACCTCTGCTGAATAGGTTACTAATATGGAATGCAGTGGGGAGAGTCGGAAAGCTACAGCCTACCTTAACTGATGTTATATTCATGGGCGCAACTGAGTTGACCTGGACCCAGGGCGTCCTCCAAGTCGCTGCGCTTGGCAGATCTATTCGTTTGATAGTAAACAGTTTCATGAACCCGAGACAGCTTATTTCACCTGACTTAGTATATGTTGCTTTGGGTAAAATATTGATAGCAATCTTCCCCGCGGCCCAAACAGACTCTGTCTGTGAAACTGGCTGGTTTTAATCCGTTTGTTAAACGCTGCCGATTCCTACCTCTGTGAACATTTGATACTAAGCTCTCCTGAGGGACAGACGAACAGAGAAATATGCAGGCGCCCATAGCTCAGGCGCCATAAAATACAACTTAGGTACAGTGATGTACGGGGAGTTGTGGGAACATACCGTGGTGGTACGAGGTTACCTAGGGTTGTTTTGCGACCCTGCGCTGATCTATCGCATTTACTGTTATCCCACATACTATTCGCGAGTTGATGCAAACACTTTTTGGACGGTTGTTTACCCACGCGGGGGATATAACAATACATGGATGGCCTCCGCAACCCCACGATTTCTCAAACCCATCTCCCATTATATGTATGACATGAGATTGAGCATACCATGACCTACGCCTCTCAGCTGCAAATACTACAGGAGTCAAACAATCATAGCCGGTGGATTAATTGGAGTGAGTTTTCACAGTTTTCATATTCCAAGAAATTAAAAAGCATATACTGACGGAGACAATTGTAGAACATGACAAAACTTTGGAGTGAGGATATTGAACATCCATGTATTACTCGCTACAGCCGCAATGGCATACCATATCAAGTGAGCCATGAGAGATATAACCAATCCAATGGTGAAAGAATGAGAAACGGCATCCGAGGTTATTCGATGTCGGCCCACGAGACTCACCCGAATGATCAAGATCAAGAGGACGGCCAGAAGCCACAGCAGCGCCGGAGGATACCTGTCGCTGTACGTGTATCTGTTCCCCCAAAGACTCATATTTTAATTGGTTATTAGTGTGGGCGCTGTCGAAAACGCAAGATCAAATGCAGCGGTCCCCAAGGAAATGATGGCTGCCATAACTGTAAATTAGCAGGCACCAACGACCACTGCCAGTTCAATAGAGTAAGTTGGGGACTGTTTTCTCTTCTCACTCGTGGCATCAGGTAGCTAACTACTGGTTAGGTTCAGTCAGAGGAGTTGCCATTCGTCAAGGACAGTTTCAATTACGACTCTTCCGCCGCCCTTCGCACTCTTCATCGGGGCAGAGATCTCCCTTGCTACATAGCACCATACGGGACCCCTTCAATGGGGAACACTCTTGGCAGCCAGCAGTCGTATAGACAGCTGCCCCTCAATGATTATCAGTATCCAACCAAGGCTGCCTATTACACGCCTCCATACGGGATCGATTACACCGATGATGGCGTCGATTATAATATCATGCCGCATAATTTCCAACAGTTAAACCAGGACCAAATCGGCCTTCAATACGCGCCAAACCCGCCAGCTAGGCCGTGGACACCGGCTCCAGGATTGAAAGCAGCTGTAAACGCTGCGTGCTACGATCCGGACCCGTCTTGTGCCTATACTTCAGCACCTCCCCTGCTGTACAACCACGGCGCGAGTTATGCATCCCGCTCCAGCATCAGCACGGAATCAAGCAACTTCTCCTTCCAAAGTATGGCAAACTCACTTCCAGCGGCATCTGCTCTGACAAGCAATGAACGAATGCTTCCCAGGCCTGCACGTCCTTTGACCCGTACATCCGATGGGGTTGTATACAGCAGCGCCTTGGCCCCAAATTCTGGTTCTGGAATCAAGATCATGGACAGCGAAACTCCTCTCTCAGTATCTTCGGACGGAACATCTCATTCATACTCTTCTACCGACAACACTGGCGAGCAAGATTTATATGTCAGCACCTCCAATGGCTGGACAAACACTCAAGGCCATCAGCCATCATTGCGCACCCAAACCTCACAAGCAGAACTTTTCAGTTACGGCACCAGCAGCGACAACTTGCCCATCCGTAAGCTGCAAATGGACACTGGAGGAACACTGTGTGATGGGAACGTATACGTGCCGTTCACAAGCTCAAGCTCAGGCCATGCGGACCATCTCCACGAGACCTCCCTCCACCGAGAAGCCATCAGCAATGTGGTTGCATGAGCCTGTCATTGTGGCGCTGCAATTTCCGGCAAGGCTTCTTCTTGCCTTCTAATATCACGCGCTTTTCATTTATCGTCATGTTCTTCAGCAGTTTCCCAAAATATTTTATTGTGTTGTCATTATGCATGGAGTGCTTTCGTTTGTTTGCTTCCCAACAAGCAAACAGGTTTGCTTTTTTTCCAACCTCATTTCACGGATAGACAAAAAAAAATCACTAGGGTAATTCATCACACCCACGATAGCCCTTTTGGACATTGCTTGGGGTTGCGGGGGCGGGATTGGGGGAGTTTGTCCTTTTTTGTGTCTAGGTTTTCGCGTTTTTTGTCACCTTCAGGCCGTGTTTGCGTCAGCCTCCATCGACCGAAACAGCACCGATGATGGCGCAAATCGACCACATGTCATTATACGACGGGCAGGCCTTTGACGCGCTGCAACGTTAATGGGGCAGTAGACCCCATGTTTAATTAAGACGGTGGTGTATCGCGTGGACTTTCTTCTTCTGGGAAACGGGGAAACGGGAACGGGATGGAGATAGAGTCGGGATAATGAGTACTAGGCCCGGGGCCACAGTTGTCGGACTCGGTAGTCATTGGACTGGCTTTGTAAATGACTACTAGCTTTATGCGCATACATATAACAAGGGCGAGGGAGAGTACCGATATGATCTTGTGAGACCTTGTTCACCCACCATCAAGCCAGCTTTTGGTTGGAAATGTAGATGATATTGATCACCGTTCACCTACTAATTCTTGCGTTGGACATGCTTGTCAACAATAAGTCCTCCCCAAACCTGGCTCGCTCATCGTGCAAGAGAGCCCATGTGCAGGGAGCAGCGGCTTCCCTGGCAAGTCTTGGGGCACATTGAGGATCAGTGGGCTGGACGGACTGCCTGACCGTGGCTGAGCAAGGCTGCGTAGAGTAGAAATATAAAATATGCGACATCGAGAGAAGATGGAAGAAAATAAAGCCTTGCTTGCCTACCAGAGTGACTACTTGTGAGGAGATGCAAGACAAATGTGCACCAGGTTTGTGGTAAGATATGGAGGATCCTTGATGGTAGACTTCGTCATATTGTACGGCGTCTGAAAGAGCGTCTGATATGGGTAAGACATAGTACAGTCGGATTTCCGGTTGTGTCTGTTGGGCAATTACCCTGACACTTGGTGTGGAAGGCACGATCTTGATGGCACTCAAGCATATTGTATCCACGAAGTTGTCCATTCGTAAAATATTTCTGTCAATAGAATACACTTTTCCATCAGCAAAGACACGAGGGGAAAATCACTGTCACACAAACACACAGAGCCAGCAAACGCTTTGTAAACCTCAGTTGAAATGGTATTGGGCCAGCGGAGCGATCGAATTCATGCCATCATGTCCCGATTCGTTTCCTTAATCTCTGCTACCACAACAGAAGGAGACTGATGCAATGCGAATACACGATGCCAGTCTTCCAGAACAACCCAACACCCACCGCAACCAAACCACCGTATGCTCCATACACAAGGCGAATAGTTTATTCCTCCTTCTTCTTCTTGGGTCCCTTGACCTTGGCCGTTCCGCGGAGGGTCTTGAGCCTGTTCTTGCGTTGATGGCCTGTTCTAATGTTAGCACTCTGATTCCTCCTTGACATGGTGTCTCGCGGATCCTGGGGATTGTTTCGGTGGACGTACGTTGCGCTCTGGATGGCTTCTCGATCTTCTCTGCGGCACCGACACGGACAAGTCTGAAGTGTGGCTCGAACTTCTTGAGGGCCTCTGGGGAATCGTAAACGAGGGCGAAGCCGGTGGTCTTGCCGCCACCGTACTGGGTCTGGAGACCGAAGACGTTGATCTGGTCCTTGGTGCACTTGTACAGCTCAGCGAGCTTGACACGGAGGTCGTCCTTGGACACGTTGGCGCGGTTTGGGTGCAGGACGTCACTGTGGTGCATGTGTTAGCCCTCGCACTTCCCACTTCCAATATATATATCCTGATCCATTTCCGCAGAGCAGCTGCTCAATGTTCTTCCCCGTTCTGCAGAGCGTATTTTGCGATCGTGGGCTGGCGTGTGGATGAACTTACATGACCATCTGCTTGCGGCCCAAAAGAGGGTTGCGGATGAACTTGCGCGTTCTCAGCGTAACAGGTTGCTCGCGGTCGGCCATGTTGACGGTATGTAATCCGAAAGGCTGTCTGCGAAGTCGAGACAGATGTCGAATTGGTCGTGAGGTCGCTGGCGGGAGAGGGAGAAGTTCGGAGGGCTAACGTTACTTAGGGTATCAACAAATTTCAGGATTAGCTTTGGTGTGGTTTTGCAATTGGTCAATTAAACGAGGCGCTTAAGCTGTGTGGAAGCCCTACCCTAAGCCACTAAGGCTGAGCCTCATGTGGCTGAACGACCCCGCCCAACCCAAAGCGGCAACGGCATGCGACGCAGCAAAAGTACGTGAGCATTTCTTGAGATCTAGAGAAGAGCTTTTATGACGTCGAGGATGATTTTTCCTGATTGAAGAGATTATATTACAGGCGCCTTGGAGAATGAAATGTGCTTCCGGGGAGATAGCCATGATGCCGCTCATGTGGCGGGAGGAACTGGGCCTCTTTAAACGCCAATATCTCCAACTCCAGCTAAGCCTCAAATACCCGGCAAAAGAATGCTTGAAGCATGAGGAGTTTCAACAATTGTTGTACTCTGAGATCTTCTCGGAAGATGCAATGAAATGGTATCCGCCGCAACGGTATCAGCTGCGGGTTCTAAAGGAGCTCGTGAAGCGGATCGAAGCGAGCATTACCGATTGGGAAGAGGAAGTATGAGGATTCTCTCTCTTTTCAGTTCAAACATCTTATATCAGATATATTTTATTTGCAGCATTGATTTATCTACTCGTACACGATGACTTCCACTTTCCCAAACCAAATGTCTGACCTTTGTATCTCCACAGCAGAGTATTTCTGACGACCTAATGAACTCCTTCGCCTCCCTCCTCACCACCACCATCCCACCCGAAGCCGTCGCCGCCCAGGAGAAGTCATACGTGACCTACACCCTCTCCAACCTCCTCCAGCCGTCATCATCCGCACCATCGCCCTCACCACCGTCCTCGCCCTCCCCAACCGACCCCCCCACCATCACCATCCTCGAATCCCGCAACCTCCTCGGCGGCACCGGCACCACCGGCTTCCGCACCTGGGAAGCCTCCCTCCAACTAAGCTCCTTCCTCAGCTCCCCCACCCTCCCCCCCTCGCTCTCCCTCCGCGGCAAATCCGTCCTCGAACTCGGCTCCGGGACAGGCTACCTCTCCATCTGCTGCGTCAAGTACCTCGGCGCCACGCACGTCACCGCCACCGACGGCTTCGACACCGTGATGACGGACCTAGGAACCAATCTCTTCATCAACGACCTGCAGGACTCGCCCCTCGTCAGTACGCGGGAACTGAAATGGGGCCACGCACTGCTGGGGAATGAGGACGCGACGTTCCTCGAGCATCGGAGCCCGGATTTCATTATCGGCGCGGACGTGACGTACGATGCTGCGGCGCTGCCGGCGCTGGTTGCTACGTTTAGGGATTTGCTGGAGTTGTTTCCGAAGGCGCAGGTGGTCATTGCGTCGACGGTGAGGAATGAGGAGACGTATGGGAAGTTTTTGGGGTTGTGTGGGAGGTATGGGTTTGGGCTTGAGCATTTGGAGTGGGAGGCGATGGAGTCGGAGTGGCAGAGGGGGCCGTTTTATGAGACGGTTATGCCGGTGAGGATTTGTAGGATTACTGTGGGGGGAGGATGAGCTGGGGATGCGAGGACGCCAACGAACGCTTCGCTGCGGTTTGAAGACACGATTGTCCGTGGTGCTTGCCCCTGCGTTCTTTGAGCATGCGATCTTGCAGGGTGAAAGGGACTAACAATCATAAGTTATTATCATAGCTTATTAGAATCAAAGAGCACACGATTGCTTTCAATAGCCTACAACAAGGTAGAGAAGCTATCAGCATCAACCCAGCTCCATAGCCTATTAACACACCGTCACCTTCCGTCCCAGTGATCCATCAAATCCTCGACCAATGCAAAAACAACCCAGCAAAACCATTATACCAGCCGCCATTTCAACCTTTTTTCCAGAAGGACTTGATCCATTCGTGCAATTGTGGGCTGTGCATAGTTAGTAATGCACATTCAGCGCAAATGCGCAGGATATGGGATGCTTACTATATAGTCTGTTCCAGTGTCCATCCCAAACCATGTCTTTAAGGGCAGCAAATGCAATGACGGCGCAACATAAATTTAGGCTAATATGAGCTAAGTCATATGTACTTTGTCGGGTATTTGCAAGGCTGCATGTCTTAGATGGCCATCCGATGAACTGCCACATGGAGCCGCTCTGAGCATCTCGTAATTGTTGTTCGAGGGCTTTAATTTGGGTTTGCTGGGCCTCAATTTGCATTTGTTGAACTTCAGCTTGCTCCCTCAATTATTTGATCTCTGACATCGCATATTCGAAAGTACGATGAGGTACCGCTTGGGCGACATGATTTAGATAGATTTGTTCCTTCCTCTCAATCGTCATCCACCTCGATGACCTCCACCGCCCGACTCCCCTGCCTCGATTGCGATGCTGGGGAGCTACGCTCACTCTCATCACGCGGCACACTCCCTGCCCCCCCCTTCGACTTCCTCCTCTCCGCAGGCAGCGCCTCCGGTTTCACCGTCCACGCCCCATCCTCCGTGACCAAGATCGCCTTAACATCGAGCTCCCCATCCCTCTCGAGCTTCTCCCTGACCGACACTAAAAAGTCGTCGACGCGGAGAGCACGCGGACTCGCGTCGCCGCCGCACAGCGGGCACTTCCACACATCGGGCAGGCAGGCGACCTCCTGGGGCTTGGTGCTGCGCGAGATGAGGAAGGTTTCGAGGTCGAAGCACTCGCGGTGGCGGCAGCGGACGCCGCGGACGGGGATGGTGAAGATGCGGGAGGTGAAGGGGTCGGCGAGGTCGATGGTGAGGTTGGCGGAGACTAGGGCGACGTCGTCGTCTTCGTCGATGTTGCTGTTGGATAGTTTGGCTCGGATGTCTTCGATCATTTCTTTGGCGGTTACCCGCTGTTCTTGCAAACACATGTCTACGATCTGCTGGTGGCGGAAGACTTCGATCACTTCGATAGCAATGGAGTAGAGGATATCATTGTTGGTCTTCGGCGGCCTAGGTACCGAAACTCGCAGCGTATTTTTCTTCGTCGCACCACGCTCAAGAACGTGGGGTGTGATGTCCACGGGTCGATCTTTGCCATAGTGGCTCTTACGCCGGATTTCGATGACCGAGTCGTTCATCTCCATGAATATAGTAGGCGGCCAGTTCGTATCCGCGACAACAAAATCCGACGGCTCCATCTGGGCGTCTTTATTCATCCTGCTGCAGCAAACTCGGTACTGGAGACTACCCTGTCGCACTTCTCGAAGCATAGGCGCCGATAGATCGGATATTTTGTCCTCGGCTATGTTGGCGAATACGCGTTTAGGAACGGCGAATGATAACTCGGTGAGCAAGGGAGAATCTAACAGAGTAGTTGGCTTGACAGCAAAGCTTTGGACGGCTTGGTAATACCTATGAGCTGTCTCGTTTGCTGCCAGCCCTTCATCGGCATCGATGGGTTTTAGGACTGGACTGCGGAGATGGGCTTGATGAAGGGCGCTGCGATCAGGTTGTGGAAACTGATACGGCGGAGTGTAGCCTTGGGGCGGTATTAATTGTACCCTATTGACCTTCTGCTGTGGCTGTGGCTGTGGTTGTGGCTGTAGCGAACTGTATCCAGCGGGCATAGCAGCAATGGTTGGAATCGTCATATTGTATGTGGACGACGAGACACGGCGAGGCTGGTTCGTTAGTACAGGAGAAGAAGCAGCACTACCAGCCGCCCCAGGAAATTGTACTAATGGAGCATTTCGGGAAGCATTCCGAGAGGCAGTCCGCACAATATCATTCACCGGGCCTTGCCTATGCTGGATACTCTGCACTTGATTAGGCTGATATGGCTGCTGCATAGTTTGCGCTTGACTCGGCATATTTTGCTGGTTTGGTGTGATGGGGTATCCCTGAGATGTCTGGGATTGCCAAGGGTAGTGGTGAGGAGACGGTACTGTGGTAGACCGCGGCGAGGCAGTTAGTACCTCCGATGGCATGATAGTAGTTCGAATAGGGGCCGGCTGCCCTGCTTGCGTTGCGGGTGGGATGTTGCTTGGAGACTGTTCGCGTTCCGGCAAGTTTGGCTGTTGCAAGGGACGTGCCGCATTCGGTCCCATGTGCGCCGGTTCCCCTGGACGAATCTGTCCTATCCGGTGGAGCTGCGCGTCTCGAACAGCTTTATATTGATTGGCTTGCCATTGGTTGCGTTCGTTGATCTCCCTTTCCGTTGGCGGATATGCGGTGTTGACCCTTGCCGCCATCTGACGATGGAGCTCTTGGTCGTGGCTGAATAGTTTCTCCATCTGGGCACTGTATTCATCGTCGGGGATCCCCATATTCCGTCGAGCCGCGGTGAAAATAATGTGCTGAAGGATGGGGGAAAGAAGCCCGAATCGATTCACGAGCTCGTCCACCAGAGGTGGGTATCCTCTATGAACGCATTCCGGGACATATTTTGACCATTCTATCGATAGCCTGGCTAGGAATATCGCCACGTTGTTTACTGTTAGGCGGTATTGGTCCGATCTGTACATAAGCTCCGACAGCTGGTTTGGGAAAACCGAGAAGAATTTCGTGTGGACCAGAGAGATGGCGGTGTTAGGCATGATAAGTTGGCCGATAATTTGAAATGCCGCCTCGAGAACAGACCCCCCCCGTTGAGGCATTGTGAGCGTCGTCGCCGTATCAGGGTCAAGAGAGTAAAGGCAAAAGATTTGATGGAGCGCAAAATAAAAGTAGTCGTCGCTCTCACACGCCTTCTGAAGCATGTAAAACCTTTGCCGCTCGATATTCCTCGCGAGATTCTGCATCCCTCCATGCAAATTGAGATGCTGCTCGATAAGCGGCAGCATAGTTTTCAGGCTTGGGTGGTTCGCGGATCTGATTGTTCGCTCCAGTTAGTGATTTACCTACAGATAGAGAGGATATTCCATACGTCATCTTGCGCCTCTTCGCTGGAGGAGCTGGCGCCTGCGGCGTATAGCCATTCAACACCGCTTGCCTGGTCCAGGGGTTATGCGGCTCGTTGTTTGTATTCCTTTGTTGGACCATCGGTGGCTGCTGAGTCGAGGGACTCCGCACTGCCTGTGGTTCGTTGCTTGTATTCCTTTGTTGCATCAAAGGGCTCCGCACAGCCTGTACCCCAGCATCTATATCCCCTTGCTGAATCACTATAGACGATTGCTGTGTCCCAGGCCTCCTTACAGCTTGTAGCTCAACATGTGCACTCGACTCCGGGCTCGTCACCAGCGGCCGCTGCGCAGCCATCCCAACCTTCTCCTTTTGAACGACGCGACTCGAGTCCGTTTCCCCAGCAGGGCTAGGTTCATCGCTAGGCGCCGGCGACGGAAGTACAGTACTCGTCGAAATCGGTCTACTATGCGCAGGTATACGTCAGTTTCAGTTCCTCACCCTCGGGCGAGACTGATGGAAACGGGAGTGGGTGGGCTGAGTTTCGCCGCTGGTATGGTCGCGTGCGCACTCACCTATTGTCACTCCCCCTCGCAGCCAGGACCGACGTTCGCTTGGCGCGTGAAATCGTACTCGAAGGCGCTGCAGCTGCTGCTGTGCCGTTCATCCAGGACCTGACCTGACTGTCGCCGAGGAAGAGGTTCACAGTCGAGTTGGTGGATGCGATCTGCTGCACGGTCCCGGGGCCAGCGTGGGCGGTCTTATCTTTATCTGATCGTTTCCGCATTTTGTGGGAGCTGTTGTCTGGGCGGTGTAGGGAGTAGGGTGGTTCATTCAATGGGTTCTACTCCGTACTAGAATCGTAAATGGAGAAAGAAAGAATATATAACGAATATATATATTATATCCCGAATCCTCGCCCCGAGGAGGCCCAGGACAAACAGGGGAAGACAATGGAATCCCGAGTTTGGGTGGTGAAGAACAAAGGAAGTTGTTGGGTCTGTTTGTTCTTCGATTTCCGCAAACAGGGTGGGTGGTCTAAAATTAGGGGTCCCACACTCCAACACACTCCAACACACTCCAACACATTTCAACAGGCAACATGCACTGTAGCATCAATAATTGGACGGGAACGGCGCTTAGGGAGCAGGGGGACTATGTAAACCAACAGAAAACAGAAGGGGATGGGGACAATGGACTGGAAGGGTTGGAAGGGTTGGAAGGGTTGGAAGGGTTGGAAGGGTTGGAAGGGTTGGAAGGGTTGGAAGGGTTGGAAGGGTTGGAAGGTGGTCACCCACGATCGTGACCGCCGCCTTTGTATGATTAATCTCTTTTTTAACTCGCATTCTTGTTGCCGCTCTACTATATAACTATATAACCCCCCAATCCACCAGATCACCTATTTCCGTGATTACAAGGCGTCTCAGGGTTCATTTTCATAAACTATTTCATCTGTATCTTATCCCATCATCCCATTCCATTCCATTCCATCCCAATCCCAATCCCAATCCCAATCCCAATCCCCAAAGTCCCCCATCTCCCTCAATCTATTGGTATCAGCTGGATCCGGAATATATATATACCCCCCGGCCATCCTCCCCATTCCCAAACGTATCTAAATTAGAAGAATTGAATCCTTTATGCAAAAATATCAGAAAATTGCATCACCCCAGATCGAGCATCCATATCATGCCCACATACAACCTCCTCCGCAGTCTGGTGGTGCTTCCATATGATCCATATAGCGCCACACACAAACCACCCCCTCAAAGAGACGCCCGGCCTAAGCAGTCAAAGGCATCTTCCCCTCCCCCTCCCCTCCCCCGCGGGACTCTCCTCCCCCCCCACCACCTCACTCCCATCCCCCTCATCCCCCCCTCCTCCCCCTCCCCAAACTCCACCCCCCTAATATCCAACCCCCCCCCACTCTCCCCAGCCACCCTCTCCTCCCCCTCCTCAAGATTCATCAACGCCGGCGGCCGATGCCTCATCGCCCTCGCCTTCGCCAGACTAATCGTCTTCTGCTGATACGTCGTCGTGACCGGCGTCGTATCATCCCTATCGATTGTCGCCTTCATCAGGGCCGCCATCCAGAGGCGTCCCTGCGCGATGTTCGGGACGGCGAAGTAGTGCACCGTTGGCTTGGTGAAGGTGACTGCCCTCGACAGGCCGGTGCGGGGAGGCATGAGTTTGAAGATGAACATCGAGTCCGCCTCGGTTTTCAACCCCTTCTCTGCTTCGGCTGCGGCGTCGGTGTCGGCGGTGGTGGGTGTTTGTGCGCCCTGTGGACTATTCGGGCCGGATATCGCACTGGTGATGGTAGCGTGCAGCCCCGTAAGTCTATCGTTATCGGCGGGTAAGACGCGGTGGAAGGAGATGTCAATGAGTCCCTTCTCCTCCGTGTCGTTCTCAGAGTAGTAGTACGACAATCTGCGCCCCTTGAGGATGAAGAGGCGGGGTTTCCAGGTCGTCATTATGTTCATGCTCTTCTTCTTCATCCAGCCGCTGTAGTCGCAGTTCTCCATCGCTTCTTTGGGGGAAATATGCTGTAAGCCGCGTGTGTAGGCGCTCGTTTCTTTCTTCCCCTTCTTTCGGTTTGAGCGTGCTGCTGCAGAGAGAATCGTGCTCTTTGATGTATTGGAGGATTCTAGATCAAAGCTTGGTCCGCCGGATGGAGTGCTTGAGCCGGTTCGTGATGGGGAGCGGTTAGAGTCTGTCGGCGATACGAGCTGCTGGTCAACACCGTTTCTTGCCCTCTCCTTCCCAGTCACCGCGTCGGATATAGCTCTGAAACCGCCTCCTCGCGCCGCTGCTGCATTGAACCAATCCGTCGCCCTGCCACCAAACTGCGTCTTGGAGGGGCCGGCTAAGGGGATGCCATCGAGCTTGGTCACCATGGGGGACGGCGTATCCTTTGGCGGCGGAGCCGGACGAATAGACCCCACAGAAGGCGTCCTCCTCGCGCCAGCAACACCATAATACTTCTGTCCCGCCGGTGACAAATGCGGCTGCTGCAACGAATCAATACTCCCAAACCTCGAATGCCTATTAACAGTAGTAGCGCTCCTCAGCCTCTGCTCGTCCGTATAACTCGACTGTCTTGAATGCGACCCCGTCCTCTTACGCAACACATTCTTCGTCCGGCCCTCTGCTTCTGTCCCCGAGAAATAGCCCCGGTCGAGGTCGTAGGGCGTCGTGCTGGTGATGGCGGGGAAGGCTTCGTCGCTGGCGGCAGGGTGGACGCCGGCTTGGGATGCGGGGCGCATGCCGGCGGAGGGGGTTTCGTCGCCCATGGTCCAGTTCCGGTCAAAGGAGGGCAGCTTCTTGTGGCCTGATGACGCCATGGTTGGTGTTGTTGCCTGTGGACCGTCTGGGGACTTTGCTTGGTTTAGCAGTGTAGGAGAATCGATCGAGGAGTGTCGTCTTGAGTGATTGAATTCTCTGATTGACGCAGCAGACGGACGACTCTGTCCCATGCCCGGTCTTTGTTGCTCCTCAGGAAAAACAGAAGACTGGCCCATCAAACTCAGGCGCCCAGTTTGCCTTTGCGAGGAGTACCGCGTGCTTGCGCTGTAGTACTGACTCCTGGTCCCTCCAACATCCGAGCCCATCTCACTCCCATAGATAGACGGCACACGTCGAGACCCAGAAGGCGTCATAACCCCATGAACCTCATCCTGCAGCGCCTTAATCTTCTGCCAAGTCTTCAACCGTCTCCCCACCGGCCCCAGCTCAAACTCCTTCAAGAAGATCGTACTCTGGTCCATACCCAGTAGCACATCTCCCGAAATCTCCTGATTACGGAACACATCACAGTGCGCCTGTTCCACTCCCGCCGCACCAAGATGCTCAGCGACCTGCGCAGCCGTCCACTTGCTAACCTCCGCACGATTAAACTCCCTCGCCTCCTCCTCATCCGTCTCCGACCCATTAATATAAGACGCCCTCCTGTCAATATGACTACTATACTCGCTCCCCGAGTCATTTGTCCCCCTCCTCTCCGCAATCCCCCCACCGCTGTTCCTCGGCGTACTCATATTCGAAATATGCTCCTGGATCACACTCAGCGTCTCATTCATGACCGGGCTCTCCTGCCCCAGCCCCAGCGCCACCCCAGACGAAACCACGCTCTTTGGTACCACCGAAATCGGCTCAACGACAGTCGGCAACGTCTCCTCGCTGGCGTACGTCTGGCTAGCAGACTGCGGCGTGTTCAGCGGCGATGGCGACGGCGGTCCTGCATCCAACACCTGCGATGCACTAATATGTCTCTCCACCTGCGTCGTCTTCGTCGCCTCCTCCACCGGCACCGAATTCCTCGTATCCAGAGCCACCGGTGGCGGGGCCGCCTCCAAGGGCGCTGGTGCTGGCGTCTCAGCGGTAGGCGTTGTCTGTTCGGGCGCTGGCACGGGTCTAGGGGTCGCCGCCGCCACCGGCGGCATCTGCGTAACAACCGGCGGACCCTGTGGCGCTGTCTTAGTATAAACTACAACAAATCTCTTGTTAGTCACAGTCGCAGAGCCGAGCTTGAGAAGGGGTTCTCTCACCCTCTGGAAATAGTCCCGTCGCGCCGTCCGTGAGGTGTTTCCCGAGATACCATCCATCCCCAAAATCATCATCTCGCTCGACCAATTCGACGCGGTCGCCGCGCGTGAGGGTCAATTCATCGGAGCCGCGTGCGATGAAGTCGTCTGTGTACACACTGGGTTAGCTGGGGTCAACAAACCCCCTCATCACGAGGGGGGACAACGAGGTGAAGGGTCGCCACTGCCGGCGTCGCGAGGCCGTCGTCGCATCTTGCCACTGCGCATCCTCCCTTCCTTCCTGCGCGCTGAGAGTTGTCGGGCGGCCATGTAGGAATCACCACGGAGTGAACTTACGGATGACCAAAAGAATCTGGCCCTTCTCTGGCCGCGGCTTAGTCTTGTCTGGCAATGGTGACGCCATTGTGTAGTGGGTGTGGTGTCGTCGTCCCTTACGTCGCGCGTGGAGCTGCCCTCCCTTACACACGGCGCATGCGTGTCTACAGTTTTCTTTCTTGTGAGGTTTTGTGTCCTTTGTGTGGAGGATGGGCTCCGTTTGTTGTTTGACTTTGTGGCGTTTGCGTGAGGGTGGTGGGGAATGTTGCGTTGTTTGTTGATGTGTGCCTTGGCTGGGGAAGGGATTGGGGATTGGGGTGTGGTTGTGGTGGTTATGGTGGTTGTGGTGGTTGTGGTGGTTGTGTGGTTGTGGTGGTTGTGATGGTTGTGATGGTTGTGGTGGTTGTGGTGGTCGTGGTTGGGGATTTCGAGAAGTGGTCTGTGGAGTGGAAGGCGGGATTGACGCAGTGCAGTGTACAAGTATGTACTCGGTGACGACTCGGGGAACGTTGGTGAATGAAACCCGATTGAAGGGAAGTAAAGGTCGAAAAGTCCACAACAAGAGTAGCTTGAAGTGTCTTTTCGAATAGGAGTGAGTTCTTTGCAGGCGTTTGTATTAATATCGGCACTTTTTTTCGGAGCTCAGGTTCACATCCCCATGGCACCGGCCGGCAAGTTCGAGTCATCGATCCATCAAAAGTTACATCTAAACACTCCGTATAGTTCCAGGTTACGGGTACACCGTGTACAAAGGCAGGCGTGAGTTGTCAATATCCTTTGTTTACTCGCCATCTACTTGTTATATGATCTACATACATTACGTCCCACGCAATGGCGCCTGGCCCGGCTGCTCCTGCACTCCTACACAAAAATATATCTCTAAAACTTATCTTGACTTATCTTAACTTTTGACTTATTTTATCCATAATTGGGATAACTGCTCCTGCTGAATTACGCTACATAGTCCGTAATACTATGCTGCATAACTTAGTCCTCTATGGGGTAAGTTAATCTTAATCATCGTCAGTAACACGCCGACATGCATGGGGCTAAGTAGGCGGGCGCTATATGATTCAGCCCTCAGACCCTCCGACAACCAAAGCGTCAGCGCCGCTGGCACATGACGTGTTCAAGGCACGGTATGATTGATGTACTGTACCTATATCTTATGGGTACGGCAGCAAAACTATAGTACCCTTCATTCCATTCCATTCCATTCCAGTCAGGGGTATGCCATCCATTCCAACGCCATCCGCCATCCGCCATCCGCCCCTCTAAAAACAATAATGCTCCGTAAACAGCGCAATCCCCTGCGCCCCCGTCCCCTTATGCACCCCCCTCTCATCCGACAGAGCCGCCACATGATTCCTCACACACGCCACGATACTCTCCCCCCCGCAAACAGTGATTAGCGTCTCCCCCGCCGTAACCTCCACAGGGCGGCGAATGAACGCGCCTATGTCGGGCCGGGAGGAGGAGTAGATGATTTGCCGATTTGTTTTCAACAACGTCGTCGTTTCGGATTCTGCCGAGTTGGTTCTCGTCCATGTGGGGGGGCGCTCGATCATGATGGATGTGAAGTCGCCCTTATCTGTGCTGGGGGTGATGGGCCTGGTCTCTATGGGAATGATTCCCCTCTCCACGTCTGATTTTTGCGTCGCTGCTGCTGCCGCGGTGGGGTTGGAGACTTCGACCGCGAAGTTGGGAGCCATGTCGAAACTATGGCATTGGTTGTTCGAGCCGAAGCAACTCTTTGTCCCGGTCGAGGTTCCGCAGGTCACAGCGATCCGGACTGTGAGGGCGATGCCGACGCGTTCTGCGGCGGTGATAGCGGCTTTTACACGCCCGATGTAGCAGTCTGTCGAATCGCGTTTGCGCACAACATGGAGCATCTCGATGCGACGCACGCAGCTCAGGCCATCCGTGTTATTGACCATGCTTTCCAGGATAGGTAGTGTGAATGTAATCCCCGTCGAGGCCGATATCAGGATCAAAGTCTCGAACGCGGCCCAGGTAGGCGGACGGCCGAGGGGTCCAGTGATGATTGCAGTAACCCCCTTATCTTGTTCCTTCGTAGCAGCAGCATGAAGGCGCTTTGTGAAACCGCCCCTCTTCTCGACGAGCAGCTGTATCGAGGACGCGCTAGACGTGTCCGAGCAGACGCTAGCGATCGTGAAGGGGTGTGCTTCCAGAGGCCCAATGGAGGGGATGCGGAGGTAGATGTGCTGACCAGCAGCCCATTTAAACTGTACGTCGTGAATGATGACTTCCGTCATCTCGGTGTTCACAGCCCTGATCTCGGCACGGTGTCCGATGAACTTAGATAGTCCGCTCCCCGTCCTCCCTGACGCAGGAGCATTTGTCCACGCGGTCCAGGCGTACATGGCTAACTTATCGAACACGAGCGCCGCAATTGCAAACCAGATGTTGTACCGCGCGTAGGCCGGGACGTGCATCCACAGGAGCCACAAAAAGACTGCTGCCGCCGCAATATGCTGGAGAACGAATAGCTCGTACGAGAAGCTGCGGATTGGCGTTAGGGAGGTGATGAATGTCCACGCCAGAACCGACCATGCCCCAATCCCATATTTCACCATCGTCATCATCTGCAGCTCCACCTCCACCAAATCAGCGCGGTACCATTCGACATAGAAGAAGCCGCCGTGGACCGTGACCGTCACGAGGAGAGTCCTCGACACCCATCTATGAAGCCAGTTAATCCGCTCGTGCGAGCTACCGGATAGTAGACCGATGAGACTGGCTTTCGACGCCAGGAGGTACACGAACGGGACCTGCGTGGCCGACACCCAGGCCGCGCGGAAAGCCACCTTTTCGTAGTAGTATGCGTCGAAGGTGATGGAGTGCCACAGGAGCATGTAGAGGATGACGGCCATGTAGATGACAACGATGAGGCTGCGGCCGAGGGAGGGGGGACTCAGCCATGACACCCAGCGGTTGTTGATGTGGTATTTTGGAGCGGCGATTTCGCGGAGGATGGCGCTGCCTGTTGCGAAGGCTTGGCCGAGGGCATTGCGAGGCCGGGTGGGGTGTTGGACAGCGCGGAGTTTTGCTAAGCGTAACCTGTGCATAACGGTCAGATGGTAGTCTCAACGTATTATTGTACGGGAATGAGAGGGGAGCAACCAACCTGGTGCGTGTCTCTGCGATCTGGAAGATGCGGAGAAGAGCTGTGAATCCCAGGACCGCGGCTATGATATACCAGTAGCTACGCGCCATGGACGAGTTGGTATGGACAAAGGCGGCGCTGTCGGAGCTCATGTCCATGCCCATGCCCATATTCATATCCATCCCCATCTTGGCTTTGGGCGTTGCGACCAACACGGGGCGGCTTTGACGTCAAGGTAGATGAATGATTTTACAAAAACGTCAAGTACGCACGCAACGACCCTTCTTCCTTCTTCTTCAAAGTATGATTTAATATGAAATTAATATCCCCGAGACATAACCACAGTCTTATCGCCCGGGCGTCATCCCCCTCAGCCTCAGCATCCGTGAATCTGGCACGCACCACTTGTAGTCTGTAACTCGAGCCTTGACTCGAGCCTTGACGTCAAGGATCACTGGTCGTGCCTTGGACATGGTTTTTGCACGCTTAGCACGGTAGATTCTCGCCATGTGGGCGTCTGGTCGTGCGTGAAGCCAATCAGAAAGTGCTCAAAGTCACTCGGTTTGGCTCGGTGACGCTAGCCGCAAAACAACGTGCTCACAGCTTCTCACGGCTTCTCACGGCTTCTCACATCAAGGGCTGAGCTGCTTAAAGGGCCGGGGTGTACGTAAGTCTCCGTAATTCGAGTGCGATTCGGGTGCGTTTATTTATCGCTTCCGCTTCCGGCAGTGGCTAGGGGAAGCTATAATATAGTCGGCGACGATCCTTGAATCTGTCGTCCTTTGCCCCCCTTCCGTTCCCCAACCCCAGCCGTCTAGGGTCCATTAAACTTGCTCATCCCCAAACCGACCCTCCTTTTAAAGACCGACCTGCCGCCCTGCCGCCCTGCCGCTTATTGCTTATTGATCGTCCACAGCCTCATAATATTCCAAGCCAACCCCCCCCCCTTTCAGCCTTCGCATCGAAATCCACCGTCGCACGACAATTAAGGATCAAACACAGCACCTCCGTCACAATGCTCAACGTCAACGTAGTTCTCCTCGGCCTCGCCGTCGGCGTCGCACAGGTCAATGGTCACTTCAACCTCAACTACCCCACCACCCTCGGCTTCGACGACGAGAAGGAAGCTACGGGTCCCTGCGGCGGCTTCAAGCCCTCCCTCGACAAGACCACCGACTTCCACATCGGAGGCGACGTCATTGCTGTCAGGACCACTCACCCAAAGGCCAATTGGTTCTTCCGCGCCACCACCAACCCGACGGCCGCTGGTGGCTGGGTCAACATCCTTCCTGAGATCGAGCAGACCGGGCTCGGATCCTACTGCGAGCAGAACCTGAAGCTGCCCGATTCGTTTGCCGGCAAGATAGGCTTCGTCCAGGTTGTCCAGCATGCTGTTGATGGCGACCTCTACCAGGTAAGCAATCCCTTGCCCCTCCTTCCATTTGAGATGTTAGCTAACTGGGTTTAGTGTGCTCCCGTCAACTTCGTAAACAGCGTCGCAGCCTCCATCCCATCGGCTTGCACAAACGCAACCGGTCTCACTGCCACCGCCTTGGCGGGCGCTGCCTCCTCCGGCGCATCCACCACCGGCTCCTCGCCATCCTCTACCACCGGAGGAAGCGCCGCATCGACGACCTCTAGTGCCGCGGCGAAGACCTCGACGGGTGCAGCGTCGGCGATCGGTGGGAGTGACGTGTTGGGCGCTTTCGGCGCTGCTGCCATGTCTCTTGCGGCGCTGTTTGCGCTTGTCCTATAATACCCTGTTTGATATGGAGTTTGAGAGCAGATGGCCTTGGGATAGGGCTTTTTTTGTAACTTAAAAGAATAATGGATCGATGAAATATTTGAAATTGTCGCGGACACTAATGAACTGGCTTGTTCAATGCCTTGCTTTGCATTTGTTTTAGTGACTCTGTTATGACGAGAGTCGCAAATACGGCTGCGGTGTAAAATAGAACGGGTGTACATAAATAACCATGGTAGTACCGTCGCGCATATGTCTTGGTAGCCCTTGCTTACCGTTCTCGCAAGTAAAAGAAGCCATAGTTGCTCTCAAGTACAAGAAGCGCGATGGTATATGTTGCAATCCCTCTCAAACATCCCCTCTCTCTCCAACGGCGTGCGGTCGTCCAACGCTCTTGGCTCGTGGAAAACCACACCCCTGCAACAAAACCATTTGTTTACCTGGTTGCCATCCCGTCGCGAAACCCCTACTAAACTTCACGACCACGAAACATCGCTTCAACATTTCCGCGCACGCCACGAGCCAACTCGTAATTTGTCGATTGAATGAAGAATGATATATAACATCTAGACGCCCACCTCTACGACACCAACAGCGCCGACATACCCCGGACATGGAGACGGATAACCTGCGCACCGCGTCGGTGTACATCAACAACTTACTCTTATCGCGCGGCCTACTGAAGAATGGACAGAACCTTGATTTTGCGCACCCCGAGCAAGGGGAAGGGGGCTCAGAAGGAACAATGGGGAGGATTATGGGGGTAGTCAATGATTTGATCCTGCGACGAGACGTGCGTTCCTCCTCCCTTTTTTTCTTTCTCACCCACCCATCTCCCAGGGATCAAATTGGCTAATAGAACCCCAGCGCGACGCAACCCAGCGCGAAAACCTCTCCAACACAATCCGCACCCTCCGCGCCGACGCCCTGCGCCAAACCACCGACCTCACCCGTCTCCAAACCAAGCACGCCGAAGCGCAGCGAAAACTCGGGCTCTCTGAAGCGACAGAGCGGGCGCTAAGAGCTCAATTACGTGGCGCGGAGGGCGCGGCGAGAGGCTTGCGCGAGGAGATGGGACGGATGCGGGTGCTGGTTGGGCAGGCGAGGGCGCTGTGCGCGAACGAGGTGAGGAAGAGGGAGAGGGTTATTGAGGGGTTGAAGAAGCATGTTGGGGAGGGGGGACGGGCGAGGGGGAGCGGAAAGACGGTGGGGGTTGCGACTGTTACGGTTTTAGCGGGGGTTGGGGGGGAGGATGGGGGGGAGGGAGGGGTGGTGGCGGTGGGGGAGAGTGATTATGATCTTAGGCAGGAGACGAATGAGTTTTTGACGGAGCTGGCGAAGGGGTTGAGTGAGGAGAGCGAGAATTTGGGGATGTTGCTTAGGACGACGGTGGAGAGTTTGAAGGCGCTTTCGGGGTGGGAGGGGGAGGAGCGGGGGGGGAGGGGGGCGGAGTTGGTGATTAGTGTTGATGGCAGTTATGAGAATGTTGCGGCGGAGATTGATTCGGTGATTGAGCACCTCCGGACGCTTTTGACGAATCCGAGCTTCGTGCCTCTTGAGGAGGTGGAGGTGCGCGAGGATGAGATTATTCGTCTTAGAGAGGGGTGGGAGAGAATGGAGTCGAGGTGGAGGGATGCGGTAAGGATGATGGATGGGTGGAGGAAGAGGATGGCGACGAGTGGACAGACTGTTAATCTGGAGGAGCTGAAGGCTGGTCTGGAGCTGAGACCGGTCAGGGACCTATGCGGCAAGGACCAGAATACCCAGGACTTGGAGGATGGCTATGAAGAGGGCGATACGCAGGCGGATATCGATGCCATGGACGACTCGCAGGTTCCAGGTGGAGAGGATCTGACGCCAGATCTGGATGAAATGAGCGATGCCAGCTCGTTTGAAGAGGAGCCTGAAGACTTCGTTGTGGAGCCGACACCCCAAATAACGGCTCCACCCGTGCCGACAGCGAAGCCTGTGGAAGATGAGATTGAGGAACAAAAGCAGAAACGAAGCGGGCGCGAACGGCGGGTCGAGCTCAGTAGTAGCCTCAACACACAAGAAGACAACAAGAAGAAGCGGAAACTCGACCCTCATGCCCCTCCAAGCTCAACCTCGCGGGTTTCGAAACCGCGAACAGATAGTAGCTCAGACATCAGCAGCTCGCGTCGTACACCAGCACCACGCAAAGAGCAGGTCGCTGAAAGACAACCAGAGCCAGAAATGGCTCCCGCGCCCTCATCGTCCCCTGGCCCACCACCACAACTCTCGCCCCTCCGCCCAATCCCCGACCCCAACCACAGGCGCAACAGCGAATTCACCACCATCGTCGAAGAAAACACCTGGGACTTCGCCCAAATGGAGCGGTCTGACCCTGCCCCGCCATCCGACGAGATATCCCTCCTCAAAACCTCTAATGCGCACCACGACGCACCCCCGTTGATGACCGAGCAATCCGCCCGCCAGGGTGCTTCCACGCCCCTAAAATTAACCGGCGCCTCGCGACCCCCCCGCCCGGCCTCGGCGATGGCCCAGGAGAGCCCGCTGACTATGGCGAGTATAGCCGCGAAACTGGCGGCGACGGAGCGGGAAGCGGATGCGGCGCGTGTGCGTGCTAAGTTGAAGGCGGCGAAGTTGAGTTCTGCGGCTGCGGCGACGAATTTAGCACCCCCGTCGAGAAGGAGTGGGGAGGAGGGGGAGAGGGAGCCGGTTAAGGGCGGGGATCTTGGGGGGGGGAGGAGGTGGAGGTTCCGAGGAAGAGGAAGGCGGCGGGGAGGTTGGGGACGAGGGCGAGTAGGAGGAGGAGTACGTTGAGTCCGTGGGAGTTGGAGAGTTTGATTTTGGGAGGGGTGGGGGAGGGTGCGGGGAAGTGAGTGGGCTTGCTGTCGGTGTGGGTGTATGGGGGGATAATGATGGGATGAGAGTGCGATACCACGCGCATAGCGAGGCGTTCTGTCGTTTGCTTTCTGGGGGGGATAATGGATATGGCAGGAGTTCCCTAAGTCAACTTAATCCCAATTATCATATGTTAAGCTACTCCAGCTGGAAGGCTGGCGATAATGGTTTGATGTCGCGCAGAGTGGCGTTTACATTGACAGGTCTTGGCGACATGGCTGCGCATGCTGACACAACAACCGCAAGTCAATCGGTTGTGTGCCTGAAGACAGGTGGTTTCGGATTTTTAGGCCGTAGGGTCGAACGAAACAAAGGCACCGCGGGGTCTGTACAGGTTGTACAACTTCATGTGAAATTTGGGGATGAGTGTTGGGGAGTGTGAAAGGTGATTCAGACATGGAGGTTTGGGTATATGTAGGTGTATTCAGTTTTCTTGCTTCAAGGTTTGGTATTCTTCTATTCGTTCATAAAGCTTCTCCGTCTTCATCGCTATCAAAGCTTTCTTGCTATAGCTATTGGAATCGACGAGTTACTACAGTTTGGGTCGTGGAAAGCGCAGTTTTGAGCCTCGATCAGATCGACGTACCCACGCTCAAAGCCCCGCGCCACCCTTCACACATTTCAAAGCCCAACTCTTGCGGAGGCATCTCGCCTTCTAGGCCCTCCGAATGTGGTTTCCTCCTATCCCCGTCATCCTCTCCCTCCTCTACACCCTCCCACTCGCCCTCGGCGCCCCAGCAGATACCCCCGCAACCACAACACTCCTCTCCGTTACACCAACCATCTCATCCGCATTCCCTTTCCGAACCCCCCATCACAGACCTTACAGACCTTGCCCAAGCGGTGACTGCCGAGGAGATGATGAGAATGATGATATGTGGAGGATAGCGCCTCTGCACTCAGTGACGAGCCAGACACTCACGGAGTTCGTGCCCGAGCCAACGGGGCCGGATGGGAAGGTGCAGCATTGGTATATTGTGACGTACTGGTCTTGTGTGTTAGTTTTCCCAGCTCTGTTTTCATTCCTGTCAAGTCTGGTGTTGTTGCGCTTTGGGGGTCTGCGGGTATTGGGAGGCGGGGTGAAGAGAAGGATATTGCTTTGCTTAGGAGATAGGGACACGCTGACGCTGACTGGCTTTGGTGATATAGCACTTTCAGCAATGATTATGTCCATTGCGGGTATCATACTCCTGTGCGCCCGGGGGTTGGGCCTGATGGGTGTTCTTTTGACGATGGGGGGAGGAAAGAGGTTTGGATTGCGGGGGTGGTGGTTGGAGTGGCGGTTGCTGTTGTGGGGGCGATTGCGATGTGAGGATGATTTGGGTTTGATGAAGATTGGGTTCTGTGTATAATGGGATATATTATGGGAGGTTGGAGGGACTGGTACTGGGTACAACAAATTATATGTCAAACCAAGCTTACTTTATGACAAAATTAGACTCAAGGAATCACTTCCATTCTCAATATTTTCCAAATATATTTCAGTGCCTATGAACACAATTTAGAGCTAGCTCCAGACTCTCACAAGCCACCCGTGACAAAAATATTAGTGAATATTTGTTTTTGGTTTTTAGGTGTATAATGAATAATAATTGAGTTTTAACTTTAAACCATTTATTCGAACTAATATAGTATCTTGAAATATGAATATCTCCCAAGGTCCGAACAGTCCAAGTGAATTTATAAGTGCCTTAAAATAAAAATTAACGATTGGTTTGAATCATCTTTGTAAGATGATTTAATACAGTAAAATGTGCAAGATCTGATATTCACATTCACTTCCGGATCACAATAGTATCATTATATAAATATTCTACCATATGAAATTGTAAAATTAAGTGATAATTCCCATAATTTCAATATGACAAGAGAGAGGGGAAACTCCATTACAACTAGCAGCACCCAATCTATGAAATTGTAGGCGTCAAGTGAATCACCACAACCTTGCGATATAATTTATTGCCCTCGTCACAAAGACCAGCCATCCATCACCGCCACGGCATCACTTTACCGGCATCACTTTACCAGCATCATATTTTCTCTGACTTCACAATGGATCGGTTCCTCGGAAAGTTGAAAAAGAAAGCCGGCGGTGGGCGAAACAAGGCCGACACAGACAAAGCACACCGGCCTCTAGAAGCATCAAGTTCACCGTCACCATCATTGTCCCCAGAACCAAAATCAACATTTTCTGAAGAGTTCTCCTCCTTCTGGAATTCAAAGGAAGCCTTTGAAACCACCCTGCACCGTCCGGTTACACCCTCTGGCGACAGGCATTCAAACTACAGGCCACACCGACGAGCACCAGAAACTCCTCCAGCAACAGCAACGTCGCTTTTTCCTCCAGGATTCTCTAGTCATCCTTATGAGCACACCAAGAAGAGTTATCCGCCACCTAGAACTTCTGAAGTCGCGATATATTCTCCTGGAAGGATCAAGAGAAAAGAGCTTCCGGACAACGAGAAGACTCAGCAGGCACCAGAAACTTCCAAAGTCACTGTGCGTGCAGTTCCTCAAGCCGACAAAGAATCAGAGCAAGAGTCAGAGCAAGAGCTAGAGCGGGGGCTAGAACCAAGTACAAGAAACACGTCACAAGAGATTGAAGGCAGTGTAACTTCATTGGAAAGCCCTAGCCTGGATTCAAAGCACGAAATTGTCATCAAAACCAAAGCAGAAAGGACAGCAGAGCTTCTGGCAAAGAAATATGCTCGCCTCGTCCATCAACAAGAGGAGCTCCATGCAAGGAAATACATGCACATCATCCACCACCGAGAAGAGCTTGAATCCCGTGGCATTCTGTGGCCTACAAACGCCCCAACCCATGAATATCCTGATGACAAAAATGAGCCACAAGTATATGAGTTTCCACAGTTTGTTCCAAAACCGCTTATGTTGCGGAATCAAAAAGAGCCGAGTGAGGGAAGTCGATCAAACCAGCGCCAAATCTCTGCGAATGGGGTTGTGCATGATTATGAAGCTGCAAAGTTGGAGAGCTGGAGACAGTTTTATGGAAAGGGCGAGATGATGAAGACCTTACACAATGAGATCGATGAGTATCTTGGAGCTCTTCTGTTCAAGAGGCTCCTGAAAGAAACAGCTGCAGATGCCACTCGGGAGTCCACAATGTACCGCTCAGAGATTACTGTCAGGAAGTATTGGGAAGGTGTCCGAGGATTTCTTGGGTCGGAATTCAAAAATGAGGACACAAGGAATTGAAATTCATTCCTAGCTTCTGTACAAATAGCTTTTGATGTTGGCTTCTCAGTTCCGGCGAGGCTTGTATAGGACGTATGCTGAAAGAAGAACTTGATATATTCGAGAAAATACCTAAAACCTTTGCTGTTTTTTTAAGTATATACGAATCATCGTGTATTTCAATTCTAGCGGGCTCATATTCACATAGTTGAGAACAATCGACTCTTATCGACTGAGGTTGAGATCCATCCACGACCTAATAATCCCCGACCTCTCCTAACCCTCTCGGCAACTCCCGCACCCCTCTCCAACACAGTCAACACGTATCCATCCCAAACCCCCCTCCTCCACCACCACACACCACAACAATGGATCCCTTCTCCTCCGAAGTCGAGCTCGTCGACCTGCGCGACCACTTCGCCGCCGGCCGCTTCCAAGAAGTCGTCGACTACGACACCGCCTCCCTGTCCCCCGAAAACAAGGTCCCGGCCCACATCCTCGCCCTCCGCGCCAAAGTCGCCCTGGGAGAAGCAAAGGAGGCGCTTGAGGAGATCAAGGATGCGGAGAGCGGACCGGAGTATAGCGCTGCGAAGGCGTATGCTGAGCATGCTACGGGGAAGACGAAAGATGCGCTGAAGACGGCGGAGGAGCTCGCGGCGAGCGCGCCGGATAATGCGACGGTGCAGCTGCTGGCGGGGTCGGTGCTGCAGAGTGAGGGGAAGACGGAGGAGGCGCTGGCTTTGCTGTCGCAGCATCAGGGAAACTGTGAGTTATTATGGTTCCGGGGGTTACGTTTACAATGCTGATATGATGGGTAGTGGAGGCTGTTGCGCTTATTGTGCAGATACATCTACAGCAAAATCGCACCGATCTTGCTCTTAAGGAGGTGCTTGCGGCGAAGAAGTGGGCGCAGGATAACTTGTTGATCAATATCGCGGAGTCGTGGGTTGCACTGAGGGTGGTACGTATTTGATAGCTTGGCGTTGCTGGTTCAGGAGATTCAGGAAGCTAACTGATACGTTGAATAGGGCGGAGAGAAGTATCAAGAAGCATTCTATGTCTTCGAGGAGATCGCACAAGCCCCTTCAGGAGCAGCAACGTTGGCCCTGCTATCACAAGCCGTTTCCGAAATCCACCTGGGACGCTTCGAGGAGGCAGAGGCCGCTCTGGGCCAGGCAATCAAGCAATTCCCCGAGAACGCCGATGTGATCGCGAACATGGCTGTCCTGTCGATTCTGTCTGGGAAAGACCGCAGTGAATACGTGAAGTAAGTTAAAGAATATGCCACCCCGTGCCGAAGTCCTTGTCATTAACCAGTTCATTCAGGAGCTTGCAAAGGCTGGATCCCGAGCACCCGTATATTAAGGGAGTGGAAGAGAAGAGGGGCCTCTTTGATAATGCGGCGTCTAAGTTCGCGGCCAAGGTTGCGGCATGATGGGAATGAAATCGGAAAACTGGCGTCACGGTGCAATAGAAATCAATGAATTATCCAGTTAATTAAAAATGTCCTATTCCACGAAGAAGTCCCTCGCATATGCATGCAGGTCTCGCCAAGTTCATAGAGAGGTTGAGGCTATGGAATTTGTTCGCCAACGTACATCTATCCCCTCCGTTTTTGAAATTTATGTCAACGAGAACGATGCGAGTCCAAGCAGCTGGTTCTCTATGAGCGCGATTTCTGGAAGTCCTCTCACGGATGCTTGGCCCAGCATGAACGACGAAGCACGCAGAGCGACCCAGGCGGATCTTCGCAGCTACCTCCACGAACTACGGACCGTGCCTTCTCCGACGCCAGCATACATTGGGTCTTGTAGTGGTGGTTCAGCATACGATCATCGCCTCAACAGGGTTATTGAAAGGCCGTGGCCTAGAACTCGCCTATTCGCGCCGAGATAAGAGGTAATGTGAGACATTTGTGACTAGAACGGGGCTGAGGCCAATACGTACGACACGATACATGATTCTCACTTGACAACACATGCATCGACAATGGGGACATTTTGGAATAGGCCACTCCTATATGCCACCGGGCCAGGCACTGACTGCATGATCCGGGGCTTAAGCTCACTGCATCTCGTCTCCCAGTTGGGCGCCCCGAGCTGAGACGTCTCAATCGAGGTGCTTTAGCCAAATCAAACATCAAGGGGCCTGTATTGGGTGGGTATGACAAGATAACTTGTCTCAATAAACGGTGGCAGAGGTATAGACCTCCGGCTGGGACCTATATATAACGCCATTCCTCTGTCCCATTCTCGTGTTCCTCTGTAGACAGAAGCTCGACTGTTGCCCTTCAGTCCCAGAGATCTCACTTCAAAAAGCCTTTCAGTCGCCGTTCAAGATGAAGTTGTCAGTTATCACTCTCGCATGCTAGCTGGCTTTGCTGCCACAGCCTATTCGCATCCGATTAGCAATGTCATTGAGAAGATCGACGACGACACCTTCAGAACTGCCCTCAAAACATTATGGACTGATCCTGGAGTTGCTCAGCAGGCAGTCCACAAGTACGATCCCGAAGACTTTTCCGACTATGAATATCCTGCAGCCGCCAACATTGCCCTCCAGAATATGGAGAAGAGTATAAAGGAGGTTAAGGATTCTGGAGCCCTCAGCGTGGCTGGTGTTGTCGACATCCTGCTGCTCTATCGAGATTTAGGGACTGTGACTAAAACCCTACTCGATGAGATCATTGCCAGGAAACCTGTTATTGAGAAGATCTCCAAATGCGAGGCCTCCAGATGATGTGGATTGTCTCCTCCACCCCCCTCCAGGCTATTATCGACAATTACGATCCGAGAGCTAATCGTGAGATCTAGCAATCCAAAGAGTCGCTGGTGGTTACGATATAATCGGGGCAACTAGGTGATATTGTAGGATTTCTCATGATAGGAGCATCACACTCAACTCTATGAAATGGTTGTGGACAACCTGAACCCATAAACCCCTGCTGAAGTTCGGTGTGTGAGCGGTCGAGACCAACAAGGGAATTGCTGGTAACGGAACGGCACTTAGATCCGGCCAGTCCCTTGGCGGCCAATATTGATTTATCACACAACCACAACCACCACCACCCACCATGGTCACACCACTATCAACAATCATGACGTCAGACGTTTTATATTCCCCACGGTTGCCCCTTCTTTTTTTTGCCCATGCGAATCAGCATGCATTTCTATTGAATGCCAATGCAAAAGCTACCTTGCCATATCAGAGCATGCGGCTGTGCACCACAACTGGCCTAGAAGATCGCTCTGGTCCGAATCGTGTGCTTCCCGTTGGATTTGATTAATCGTCCGTCCGACCCCGTGCCGCCTGTGTGAGCTCACGATATCTCCGGGCCGTTATACCTCATCAGTCCTCCCATGTTTCCTGACCCTTTGCCGTCATAGCCGCAGAAAGCCACGACGATGCAAGGCCAGAGTACTCACATGGACATGCAATGCAGCTTACCGCCTCTCCATGACCGAAGCCCATCCTCGTTATCATCGTGGAGACAGTGGGTATCATTCTAGACCCACTAACGGTATCCGGCTGGAACCCTCTCATTGTGGGCCAATGATGCTCCGAATCCAGGCGTTGTGTGCCTGAAAAATGGCCTTTGGAGGGCAGTGACGAGAGGATATCTAATGGTCTACTGTATGATATAACCTAGGGGGAGCCACGACAACCCCCCCTCAACTGCACCACTAAACCAAAAAGATTTTGAAAGCCTTTCTGCTAACAGCAACTGTTTGTTGACAAGGAAGGATATATACAAGAGAGATTAGACAGATTTAACAGCAGAGTCCATATTATACCCCGCCAATGCACACGATGCCGGCTGCTCTGACGCCACCGATTGAGGGCGAGAACGAGGACCCCTCTGCGAGAACGAGCTATGAAACTACACAAACGGAAGCGGCCAGCAACAAGCGGAAGGTGATCTGCTTCTCAGGTATGATTTGCCCCCATGTGCGTAGCGGGTGCGATGCGTATGGCAGCTAACAGATCCCCAGACTTCGACGGCACGATATTCATGCAAGACACCGGGCACATCCTCTTCGACAGCCACGGCTGCGGCAGCGAACAGCGCGCCATCCTCGACGAGCAAATAAAATCCGGCGAGCGCTCCTTCCGCGACGTCTCCGAGGAGATGTGGAGCTCCCTCAACGTGCCCTTCGAGGACGGCTTCGAGGTCATGGAGGAGAAGCTCGAGATGGACCCCGACTTCCGCGAATTCCACAAGTACTGCCTCGCCAACAGCATCCCCTTCTATGTCATCTCCGCGGGCCTCAAGCCGGTTCTCCGCGCGGTCCTCGATAAGTTCCTCGGAGAGGAGGAGTCGTCTCATATTAAGATCGTGGCTAATGATGCGGACATCGCGCCGGATGGGTCACAGTGGAAGCCTATCTGGCGCCACGACACGGAGCTGGGGCATGATAAGGCGCGCTCTATCACCGAGTACCGCGAGTCTGCCGAGACGGCTGCGTCTACCGATGAGCTACCGCTGATCGTCTTCATTGGCGACGGCGTGTCTGATCTGCCAGCCGCGCGCGAGGCGGACGTGCTGTTTGCGCGCAAGGGGTTGAGGCTCGAGGAGTACTGTGTTGAGCACAAGATTCCGTATATTGGGTTTGATACGTTTGCGGATGTGCAGAGGGAGATTGAGAGTATTATGGAGGACGATGTTAAGAAGACGGGTGGAAAGGGGAAGCCGGCGAGGTTTAACCCACGCGCGAACTTCTGGAGGAGAGTCTCTGTGAGTCGGTGACGAGGTGATGGGGGAAGGGATAGACTGGGGGGTGGGCGTCGTTAGCGTGACGGTGGCATCTGCTTTGGGCGATATTTAGATATCAAGATATTATATATAATTGCTTTATAGTGATACTGTATTGTGATACTGTATGATGCTCGGGATGCATGTGAGCAGCTTTACCACTAGCCAATATTTTCAACTTTCTCTCTCTACTACTCCTCTAGGCAAAGAACAGGATGATCATTCTAACCACCGTCTCACCCGGATGGCTGTGCTACACGGACATGCGCGGATGCCGGCGGCCTGTTTACATGCATTGAAACCCAAATCCCACGACCAACCCAAGGCGGGACGCGCAATGGATAAGGCTGAGCCATCCTTGGCGGCTAGGAAGGAGGTCTGGCAACGCTGGGGAGGCTAGAACAGTACGAGGGATATCGTAATGCAGGGTATAATATCTCAGTGGGTGCATATAGCCGATAGCACCCGTGGAGTGATATAACACAGACTTGATATTGCGGCATCTCACTTCCACTTCCACGTCGATATTGCTTTTAGTATCACTCCCACATCGATATTGCGATTCTCGTCATCTCGCCGCCGCCGAGACACAGACTCATTAATGTGACACCATGGCCTAGTCGATGGAGGGGTAAAGTAGATGTATGAATGAGCCCCGTCACATGTAGATTTACCTTGTGCCACATCTTCACTAGGGAACGCCATTGGAGCGGGAGGGTAGCTATACCCATGATGGCCAATCTTTGTCAGCCCTGCGACAGGGTGGTGTGGTGGGAACGGCGCGTTTGGCTGGAAGCGGTGGGAGGGCTGAGACTGAGCTGCAGACAGTGCAGTGCGTGGTACAGTCGGTGAGAGGGACGTAATGTTGTCGTACTGATGTTTCTTCAGCTTTTGCTTCGGCGTGGGGGGTATGTGCGCTGATGAGTCTGCTGAGTAGTTAGTATTTTTGCAAGAATTATATATAAATGAAGCCTGCGCATGTAACGGAGATGTAGGATTTTCTATTAAGTTACCTTCGATGATGTCGATTGCGGGGTAAAAACTTAGCTCAGATCCTGCAGATCGTGAATATCCATGACATCCATGGCGTCCATGGCATCCCATGGCATCCATGACATCCATGGCGTCCATGGCATCCATGGCATCCATGGCATCCCATGGCGTCCATCGCTCCGCCCCTCAATCGCACCTATCGAAGCTTGTTGATACTAGAATAGTACCATTTCGTAGTGACCATTTCAGTAGTGCTGATCTAGAAGAGTATACTACTCTTCCAAAGTAGTATATATCCTTCACAAGCTGGCTGCTATCCACTGTAGTATGTAGTAGAGCAATTTATTAGTGTATGTGGAACTCTAGAGACCGCGACCAGCACCGACCAGCACCGCCAGCACCGACCAGCACCGACCAACATCCACCACCACTATCAACCACTACCGCCCACTACCGCCCACTATCAACCACCATCAACCACCCTCCCATGCCAAGGGCGGCGGGTAGAGCCATTGTGTTACCTTGGCCTTTTATGAGGGGCCAAGAATACTTAAATCGACAGCAATGGTTCGCATCATCCCCTCTCGCCTGAAGTCATATACTAGCGGAGGAGGTTCAGGAACAGCAGCGCCAAACAACAGCAGCTCCGTCGCCAACAGCTGTGCTCCCGCCTCGTCCCAGAACTCCACCATGCACAACAAAGGCGAAGCTAGTCCCGCCGGAGGACTGGCCAATGGCCTCATGCTGAGGATCGTGGTGTTGAGGGTACGTCCGTCTTGTCGGGGTTTGGCGTTTTTGGGGTTGAGGGAGCCAAGGAACTGACAATATTGGCTTTCCAGGGCAAGAACCTCGCCGCCAAGGACAAGAACGGTACTTCTGATCCGGTAAGTGATAGATAGCTCCTTGGACTTGGCCACGATGGCGGACACGAAGCTGACGGACGTTATTTCTGTCTAGTTCCTGGTTATCTCGCTGGGCGATACTAGAGATACGACGCAGTATGTGCCGAAGACTCTCAACCCCGAATGGAACCACCTGTGCGACCTGCCCGTCTCCAGCATCAAGGACCTCCTGCTCGACATCGTGTGTTGGGACAAGGATAGGTTCGGAAAGGACTATATGGGGGAGTTTGAGGTGGCATTGGAGGATATATTTGCTAATGGCAAGGTTTCGCAAGAGGCGCAGTGGTATCCGCTGAAGAGCAAACGGGGTGGCAGTAGGAGGAAGGAGAAGAAGGATAGCAATATCTCCGGGGAGGTACAACTACAATTCAAGCTATACGACTCGTCGACCCCCGGGGCATCACCGCCCCAGGTCATGGAGAAGTTCTGGGCTATTGCTGGGATCGAGAACGATAGCCTTACGCCCAACAAGTCAGGCAGTGACGATGCCAGCCCTACCGGTGACGAGGATGAGGATGACGAAGACGAAGAGCGAAGCGGCTCGGCCGACGAGGTCGACGACCCTTCGAAGCCGGAAACGGTGGAGAAGAAGAGGAGGCGGAGGAGGATAAGAGGACTGAAGAAACGGAAAGCCCACCAGTTATACGAGTTTGTTGGAGCGAGTAGTGTGACTGGGATCATATGCTTGGAAATCTCAGGCGTTACTGACCTGCCCCCGGAACGGAACGTGACGAGGACGTCGTTTGACATGGATCCCTTCGTCGTTGCGTCGTTGGGTAGGAAGACTTACAGAACCCGAGTCGTCCGCCACAAGCTTAACCCCGTCTTTAACGAAAAGATGATATTCCAGGTTCTCCGACACGAGCAGGCATACTCGATATCCTTCTCGGTTGTCGACCGCGACAAGCTCTCCGGCAACGATTTCATATGTGCGGCTAGCGTGCCGATTCAAGATATCACAAGTACAGGTCCAAAGGCTGACCCGGACACCGGACTCTACGACCTGCCGGAACTGCCAGACTCTGGATCAGTGCCAAAGCCGTCGAGCAAATCAAGGTTCAAGATAGCTCTGTCTCGGACGACTTCGTCACAGAGCCTGAATAAGCAAGGTAGACCACCGTTGTCCCCAAAACCCTCGACCCAAGGCAGCGTGACCAATGAAGGAATTCCTCAAATTGGAGCTAACTTGACCCCTGAAGCAATTCCACCGAGTGCCCTGGAGCAAACCGATAGTACCGAGGAGAGAGGAGACCCCGACCTACATACGTTCCACATCCCGCTCAAGCTCAAGAACATGGAGAAGTGGGAGGAAAAGCACAAGCCGGAATTACATCTCAAGGCGAAATACCTACCATATACGGCTCTGAGACAGCAGTTCTGGCGATCGATGCTCAGACAATACGACGTCGATGATAGTGGTAGCATCAGCAAGGTCGAACTCACCACTATGCTTGATACGCTCGGCTCGACGCTTAAGGAGTCGACTATTGATAAGTTCTTCAAGAGGTTCCCTCACATGCTAAATGATGAAGAGGGCATGCTCTCTTACGACGAGGCAGTGATTTGCTTGGAGGACCAACTCGAAATGAAGAGCAAGCAGAGTCAATCTGCAACTGACAAGGTTCGTGGCCAGATCCAACAGCGCCTTGGACGAAGCGCTGCCTCGTCAAGTCTGTCATTACCGGTAACGCAGGAAGAGTCAGAGGCAACACCCGCGGAAGAGGTCGATGCTGCAGAACTTAGTAATGCGGAGATTGGCACACCCCTTGAAGAGGGCGAATTCAGCAATTCGTACGATCTGTACGATAAAGACGAAGAGCACGTCGTGGAGATTAAGGAGTGCCCTATTTGCCACCAACCTCGCCTTAACAGGCGGTCCGACGCCGATATTATCACACATATTGCTACCTGTGCAAGCCAGGATTGGCGACAGGTCAATAATATTGTCATGGCAGGCTTTGTCACATCGAGCCAGGCCCAGCGGAAGTGGTACTCCAAGGTTATCACCAAGATCTCGTATGGTGGGTATAAACTAGGTGCGAATTCCGCGAATATTCTAGTACAGGACCGTATTACTGGACATATCAATGAAGAGAGGATGAGTATATATGTACGGCTTGGGATTCGACTGCTGTACAAAGGCCTAAAGTCAAGGGAAATGGAGAAGAAGAGAAGTATGTATTGGAGATTACCCCTATGAGCGATTGGGAGCAATGCTAATACCTCCTAGTTCGCAAGCTTCTGCGTGGTCTCAGCGTCAAGCAGGGCGTCAAATACGACGACCCAGCTTCGAAGAACGAGATCCCCAAGTTCATCGCCTTCCACCAACTCGACATGTCCGAGGTGCTCTACCCCATCGAAGACTTCAAGAACTTCAACCAATTCTTCTACCGCGAACTGAAGCCCAACGCGCGCCCCTGCTCCGCGCCCGACAATCCGCGCATCATCGTCTCCCCCGCTGACTGCCGCTCCGTCGTCTTCAACCAAATGGATACCGCCACCAAGATCTGGGTCAAGGGGCGCGAGTTCTCCATCAAGCGCCTTCTTGGGAACGCATACCCCGAAGACGTGGAGCGGTATACCAATGGAGCGCTGGGTATCTTCCGCCTGGCGCCACAAGATTACCATCGCTTCCATATTCCCGTCGACGGCGTCATGGGCACACCCAAGACTATCGAGGGAGAGTACTATACTGTCAACCCCATGGCGATCCGCTCGGCGCTCGATGTCTACGGCGAGAACGTGCGTGTCGTTGTGCCTATCGACTCTGTTGACCACGGCCGCGTCATGGTCATCTGCGTCGGTGCCATGATGGTGGGAAGCACGGTGATCACACGGAAGAAGGGAGAGACGGTCAAGCGTGCCGAGGAGCTGGGATACTTCAAGTTCGGTGGCAGCACGCTGCTCGTCCTCTTTGAGCCGAGCGCGATGCGTTTCGATGACGACCTCGTGGATAATTCCAACGGGGCTCTGGAGACACTGGTATGTCCCCTTACTGTAATACAGAGAAGAAACTAACAACGCCCCAGGTCCGCGTCGGTATGTCCATCGGCCACCACCCCCAACAAGACCAACACACCCCCGACATGCGCAAGCCCGACGCCGAGATCTCCGAAAAAGACCGCGCCGACGCACAGCGCCGCATCGAGGGCAGTCTGGCACCCGACCGCGTCGTCAACGGCGCGGCGGACCTGCTGCCGGCCGTGCTGCAGAAGCCGCCGGGGGCGTACTAGATGAGCGCCTCGATTTTAAAAAAAGGAGAGCTGAGAGAAGGACTACGAGGAAGGCACTGGCCGGACCGTGCCGGCGACCACACACGGCGAATGGGATGGGATGATGAATGTACGTGCACACGCGATTTCAACATCGGAGATGATTTCAACAATGGGCACAGGTGGGCGGGAACAAAACAAAAAAGAGATTTTATATATTCCTTACTATATTTTTTTGGGGGGCTCTCTGGGGTTACCGTTGGATCGCGGATGGGGATGGGGTTTGTAGAAAGGGGGAAGGGGGAAAAGGGACATACATGGGCGCGCCTGCCTGAGAAGGTGAGGATATATACGAGGGCATGGCGGCGAGGGGGAGGGGAGGGGGAGGGGATTTGTTTTTGTTAGCAGTAAGTTATATTCTTCGTGTCGTTTCAGATCAGAGCAGAGCAGCGCAGAGCATGTTTTTTTGATAGCAGAGCAAGCAGGCAGTAGCGATGAATTGGATTGGCACTTTTTCGACTTTGCACCAAAAATGTTTACCCGTGAAGTTACCTTCTTAACCTATCACGCAACCTCGCAAGCCTATCGCAAACCTATCTACATCGGAAACCTACCTCGCAAGCCTATCTACTTCGGAAACCAACCTCACAAACCTACCTTACCTCCCACAGCTCCCCCCCATCCCTCACCCCTGAACGCCTCACGCCCGGGAGCTACCTCCAAACAGCTCATCGGAGACAAAAAAACGCTTGACACCCACCTACCGACACGCAGCTCAATTCCTCTGACAAATTATTGGGGCCCATCTGTCACGAACCGAATCACGTGCGGGCAATACTCACGTGCCCTTCAGTGCCAAGACGGAGGCATGTCGGTCCGGACAGGACACGTAGAACTATATAGTAGGAACGCGGACCTTCGGAGGAAGGTCAGCGTTCAGTCTTCGTATCAATAGACCAGGATTCTACGTATATTCCTTCCCGTGACTTCCCACTGCCCTACTCGCCAAGAAGTCCTTTACATTCTGAACGCTCCATCATTCCTACGATTAGGAAGAGTAGCCCAGTGAGGGAAGTCAAAAGAGAAGCCGAAACCATGCCGCCACGCACCCGCACTCAGACCGCAGACACCGAAGGGAGTGGCAGTCGCGAAGCAGCGTCTCTGCCACCAGCTGAAAGCCAGCAAGGGATCGAGGCCCAGCTAGCAACCGCCCAGGCTATTGAGGAAGAACTCCTCGCGAAGCTTCAGCTCAAGGAGGCGGCCGAGCGAATTGAGCGGCTAAAGAAGCGGTTGGAAGATGGGGATGTAGCGGAGGTTCTACCGCCAATCCTTCCCGTCGACGATCAAAGTGTCGCGTCGTCCAGCTCTGTCTCTTACGGGGGACTGCCGAAGAGCATAAGACCCCGGCAGATCGCCCCATATAAGGGAAGAACGGTGCGAGAGCATTCAGAATTTGTCACAAGCTGCGAGTTAAGCTTTCAGTTAGAGCCAAGTCTGAATAAATCAGACGAGCTCCGCTGTGACTTGGTGGTGACGTGGCTTGAGGGCGAACCTCGAGACGCATGGCTTCGACACGAGAAGGAACCTGACTTCCAGAAGACTTGGAAGGGGTTCAAGAAGTTCCTTCTCGATCACGTCGAAGATCCAGTCAATCGGGGCCTCTCGACAGCAATCAAATACGAGGAGGCGCGCCAGCGACCCGGACAGTCTGCGCAAACCTTTGCGACCTACCTCGAGATGTTAGAGGGGGAGTTGAAGGCATACAGTGAAGAACATCGAGTTCAGCACTTCCTCGCAAAGCTCCGGCCCGATCTACGCTTAAAGGTAATCACCTACCCTGAGATTCCGCGGACGCGAAGCGCCCTCATTGCACTCGCCTCGCGGTTCGAACAAGCCAACCCATTCAAGGGTCAGGAAAAGGGAGTTCAGAAGGGCCACAAGGAAGAGAAGAAGGGAGAGAATCCCCTCAAGAGGGGCTCGCACCCCTACCAGGGTAGTCAAAGCGGAGACAAAGCGGGCATAAAGTGCTCGCGTCTCTCAGATGAGGAAGAGAAGCGGCGTAGGGACAATAACCTTTGTTTCCATTGTGGAAAGGAGGGACACCGAACCGCTCAGTGCTTCTTACGGAACGGGGAAGGCGCGTCGCGTATTCGAGCTGTACAGCAGGACAACCTGCCAAGGAGTATCATGCCACCAAAAAACTAGGACCCTCTATCCAAACCCCGATGGATAGAGCGGTTACTCAGGGAGAGAACAGCCTGTCGATCCTCGTTGACGTACGAGGAGCGGAAGCGTGGCGACCGCTTCGCGCACTCGTAGACAGCGGCACGACTACCAACCTCATATCCCATTTAGTAGCAAAAGAGCTAGGGGGAGTATGGGAACCAAGTTATACCACAGCAAAGGGTGTAGGAAGCCAAGAAATACCTCTCTTCGGAAAGTCTCAGCTCACCCTCCGCATCAAGGACGATGGGGGCAAGATGCAGGAAAGAGAACACCTCTTTGCGTCTACGGCCATGGAGGAATACGACCTCATGTTAGGGTATCCATGGCTTCTCCGCGAAAACCCAGTGATTAATTGGACGCTCGGGACGTGGCGATTCCCTACCGACAACATCCAGTATATCTCAAACGAGGAGGCAGAAGAGCTGCGGGGGCAAGGCGGACCAGTGTATGTAGCAATGCTACACCGAATGGACGACCCCCAAGAACCCCAACCTACACCAACAGTCCCAAGGGAATATCAATCTTTCGAGGACGTCTTTGACGACGAAGGGGCAGCGTCGCTCCCAGAGTACTCAAAGAGGGCAGAGCACGCCATCAATATTGAGGAAGGGAAACAGCCCCTGTGGGGACCAATCTACAGCCTCTCAGAAAAGGAGTTGGCAACGCTTAGGGGTTACATTGAGGATTCGCTTCAGAGGGGCTGGATCCGTCACTCGACGAGCCCAGCTGGAGCGCTGATCCTCTTTGTCCTGAAGCCGGATGGCTCGAAGCGCTTATGCGTCGATTATCGAGGGCTTAACGCCATGACGGTGAAGAATCGACACCCAATTCCTCTTATATCGGAAATACTCGACCGCCTAAGCAGGGCCGCAGTGTTCACGAAGCTTGACGCAAAGGATGCATACCAGCAGATGAGAATCTGAAAAGGGGACGAATGGAAAACTGCCTTCCGAACAAGGTACGGCCTGTTCGAATATTTAGTGATGCCATTTGGGCTGTGCAATGCCCCCGCATCATTCCAGGCGTATATAAATGAGGCGCTCACAGGCCTCGTAGACGTGATGTGCATCGTCTACCTTGACGACGTTTTGATCTATTCGAAGCGCAAGGAAGAGCATCCGCAACACGTCCACACTGTCCTCGAACGCCTACGGAAGTTTAAAATCTACTGCAATCTAAAGAAGTGCAAATTCTCAACAAAAGAGGTTGAGTTTCTAGGCTTCATTGTGTCTATGAAGGGGATCTCAATGGACCTATCGCGGGTCGAGACAATCACAGACTGGCCAGTGCCAACAACCTTCCGAGACCTACAGGTCTTCTTAGGCTTTGCGAACTTCTATCACTTCCTTTGAGGAGTTCCGTGAGCGGTTGCGCAATACGCGAATAGCCCGCGATGAACCTTCGGGTGTTATCGTAGTGGCCATGGTGGTAGTCGAGTCCACTTTCTCAGGGCACGGCACACCAACAACAGGCCCGCCAGCGTGGCTTAGCCGGCACTCGCTACCCGCAGTAAGGGGGCTGTGGGTGAGGGAAGGCGGACTACACTACGACGCTACGACGGAGCCAGACAAGCAGCAGCGGTCCTGCACGCTATGCGAGCTCGTCACACACCGAACCCGCCAGCGAAGGAATCGCATCGTGCGTCCGCGCGTTGTGGTTTTGGCACGGAGGGCGCGGACAGTGCGAACGCCTAGGTACAGGGGGGGATCAATGGCGAGGGGAGCGCACACCATCAAAAGGAAAGCACATCACACCGCTGGCGCCGGCGCCACTGGAGCGCCGAAACAACGTGTCCCACTTGCAAACCATTGACATAATCGTTGGTTCTCAAACCACCGCCTGGAGGCGGTTGGCGAAAGTAAACTGGGACGCGAAAGCGATTGTGGGACACTTTGGGAGCGGACTCACGACGCGACACGACTGACCATGAACATGACCGACAACGAGCACAACTACAACCACAACTATGCCGGTAGTTGAAGTAAATAAAAATGAAGCTCTTTTAAATGCCATTGAATTTTTAAATGAAAACCCAACAGAGAAGAGTGCTACAGTAGCACGGATGTACAGAGTAAACCCAAGTACGCTCCGGACTATACGACTACGACAATGACGCGCATCACCACAACGCACCGCTGTGCCACGCGGAGGCCAGAACAGAGTACTGTCTGATGTACAAGTTACAGCTATACAAAGATACATCCAACGCTCGTACGAAAATGGGTACGGTGCAACTAAGCCTATGGTGTTCAGTGCCATCTGCCAACTACGTGCAGCAGAAACTCCAACACGTGCACCACCATCACAACGGTGGTTCCAGACATGGATTAAGACACAACAACACAACTTCCATACAATAAAAACCCGGCCAATTGAAGCAGCACGGGTTGCATCTCATGAAGTATCAGCTATTAAAGAATGGTTTTATGAATTTAAAGATGTGTGTAATCAACTAGATATTACTGCAGGTGATATCTACAACTTTGATGAAGTTGGATTCCGTGTAGGAATGAGCACCGGTGAACATGTGTTGGTACCATCTGCAGTAAAGGAGGTAAGTTGTTTCTACTTATCTTACTTTATATTATTCTAATATTTATAGCTTTATATACAAGCTCCAGAGAACAGACAAAGTCTTACAGTTATAGAGACAATTTCAGCTGCTGGCATTGCACTTCCACCGTTCCTTATTATACAAGGAAAATTACACATGGAATGGATATACAAACTCTGAGCTTGCAATGGAATGTCTACAGCATTTTATTCAACATACACCGTCTATAAGAACGAAATTGTTAATAATGGACTCTCATGTGTTTCCGTCTCATCTTACGCATATTCTACAACCGCTAGATGTTACTGTGTTTGCACAATATAAACATTGGCACCGACGTGCAATTCAACAAGCAATCCGGAATTTTGATACAGATTATAATGTTATATCTTTCTTTAGAGACTTGTCTACTATCCGTAAGCAGACATTTACAAAGGGTAACTGTATCAAGTCTTTTAGAGACGCAGGTATTTGGCCACCTAACTATGAAAAGATTCAAGAGAAGGTTGCTATATATGCAAAACCAGAAGTTTTAGAAACACCACAATGCGCATTTCAAGCAAGTTATGATCTTTCAACATGGAGTCAAACATTTGATAAGATCCTTAGTTCACCATCACGGCAAAAGTGGGCGTCTTCTTATACTGAAATCCAAACTCAGTTAACAGAGGCTGAGCTGTTCCAGTCAGAGCTTGTACAAATTACTACTATTATGACCGAGCAACGACAGCGGAAGGTTAGAAGTCGGAAATCTATTCAAAAAGGTGGTGCTATTACAGTTGAACATGCACGGCAAAGGATTTATGAGAAGAAGGTAAAGGAGCAACTTTTAGAAGAAGCACGGGAGAAAAGAGAGAGAACACGCATGGTGAATGTTGAGTGTAAGATGCAGCTCCGTGCTGGCATCGATGCACGGAAGGCAGAACGTACACGGAAAAAGGACCTACATGAATTTCAAAAAAGTAACCCAGACACGGAGCCAACAATTGGCTTACGTACAGAAATCATTGACCCGGACATTACACAGAAGAAACGTGAGGAGGAGGAGGAGGCGGGCCGACTGTTAGCCATCGAGGAGAGTGGGTACGTGAACTTTGCAGGCTTGGACTATGACATGATTCACGATGCAAGTGACGGTGGCTTTGATGATCAATCACTGCCTGACAATATTGATCCAAATCTTTTTTAATTATTTAATTCTATAACTTATATATATTTACAGCATTGTTACGTTGTCAGTCGTGTTCATGGTCGGTCGTGTCGCGTCGCGAGTCCGCTCCCGAAGTGTCCCACAATCGCTTTCGCGTCCCAGTTCGCTTTCGCCAACCGCCTCCAGGCGGTGGTTTGAGAACCAACGATTAAGTGCCCGGCGATTGGCCGTGTCGGTACGGGTTGGAAATGTGGCAAGGGGAAGAGAGCGGGAGAGAGACTGGACCAATTCCAATCCCTCTATCCCCCATCCGGCCCCTACACTTACACACCCCGGTTTTCGTCCCGCGCCAAGACCCAACCACGTGCCGCGTGCTACAGTAGGACCCCTGTTATAGCGATCTCCTATTAGCCGATATTTCCTATATAGCGATAATGTTGAGGCCACGCTGGCTTTTTATATGTAATTTTTGACTCCTTTTACAATACTACGATATCGTTCCGTGATATGTAATAAAATCGTTATATTTTGTATGTGTAAAATGGCTCGGCAGGGTATTACAATTGAGCAACGGCGTGCCTTACGTCGATGGGCCCATCGACAGCACCCTACGCCTACACAGAAAGCCTGTATACAGTGGTTCCAGGAGATGTACGGCCATAAAGTAAGCCAGTCTACTATTTCTGAGTCCTTGAGCGCCACTTTTGAGAGGCTAGATACTGAAGCCGGAGCTATATCGACGTCTGCCCTTCGTATCCGTTCCGGCTTTTGGCCTGAGCTCGAAGAGGTCCTTTGGCATTAGCAGCTTCGAGTTGAACCAAACGGGGCGTTTACTATAGGCGAAATCCTTCGAGAAAAGGCTCGAGGTCTAGCATCAACTCCCTCATTATAGGGAGAAACCCGAGCTAGAATTTAGTACTCGGTGGCTTGAAAATTTCAAGAAACGGCATGGTATTCGAGCACGATTTCAACACAGCGAAGCAGGGTCAATTCCTAATGTAGAGGTAGCGATGGAAGGGCTACGGCTTATTACAAAGCAATATGAAGAGAAGGATATATATAACATGGATGAAACTGGATTATTCTAGCGTATGAGACCCTCGGGAGGTCTCCTTTTTCAGAGTATTCTAGGCGTCAAGAAGGATAAAGCACGAATAATGGGTATTTTATGTACGAACGCAACAGGAGAAGACCGAATCCAACCTTGGTTTATTAGAAAAGCTAAAAAGCCACGAGCTTTACAAGGAATCGATGTTTCAGGAATAGGAGGCATATGGAAGCATAATTCGAAAGCTTGGAATACAACAATTGTTAGGGTGTGCCGAGATGGCGGTGCTGAGTAAATAAATGGCTATACGCGCGCACGGGTGTGGATTCACATTTTTAGTGTTGCGGTATAGTCCAGACTTGCGGGACCTCACAGCGGTCGTGGTGCAGATCGAGATCCGATCTTGATCACGGGCCGGGTGGGTGCCAGAGGTGGTGGTCGGGAGTTTGTCGGGTGCTGAGGCTCGGTTGGCCGCGGGATGGGGTGTACATCCGTGGGATGAGTGGTAATGAAAAGATGCCCCTTTTCGATGCTATTGTTAGGAAGGAGAGATGATGGTTAGGGGACTGTACTGTGCTCGTCTTCGTAGAGTATACATTGGGCAGATGGCGCATGTGCAATATTGGGCTTCTGTGCGTCTCCGTCTGTCGCACAGAATTGGAGAGTACAGCGCACCCGAGGGCACTCTTCGCCCCCTTCGCTGTGAAACCCTTGCACAATGGTGCGCCACTGATACTCGAGTATGTCGAGTATTTGTAAGTCGAAAACGTGTGTGTCCCGGTGAGTTAGAGTGCTGTGCGTCCTGTGCAGTGTGCTCATCTGCAAATATACAGCGCAATATGTACGCAAATCTCCCCTCGTGCCCGGAGTCGTCTCCAGAACATCCCCGCAGCCTCGTGGTGCGGAAACCGGCCGTTGCACACCCAATCTCGCCCACCGCGCGCCCCTTTTTAGGCTCTGGGTTTCAGCGGTGCCGCCGCCATGTGCGCACGATCACACTGGGGAGGTATGCCAGGGATCTGTTAATTTGCGGGCGACGCCTCTTTTGCTTCTTTGCCGGTAAGTTACAAGGAGCGGGCGGGGGAGTCTCTGAGCTTCGATCCTGGCTTAGTGGCCTGCACTTAGGTACTCTGTACAGGAATTGCGCGTAAACTTTCCGTTTGCTCTTTTGCTTCTGGCTGCGGGTTGCAGTATCATATCCCACGTACTCAATCTTGCAGGGAGCGCGGGCGCCTATGGGTTGCCTCGACCTCCTCACCACCCAATCTTGTCCCGAACTGCACCTACAACTATTTTCTCAAATTGACAAATTGCTCACAACTTTTCCCCAGACCCTCAGGGCTATACTTCCAGTCAATTACGCATTATAACTCCCATCTCCATCCATTCATGCTCCTTTCGAGCATCCCTAGGTGGTAATGGAGGCCTCAACCCCCTAACGGCTAGATCTAGGCCCCTAGGAACCACAACCACCATCCAACCTCAACCGCACTTCTAAGAGATAGCAGAGGACACTTAGTACTAATACTGTTCCTCCTCTACGCCTTGCTTAGGTGAAAGCGCGCCTAACAGTCACGAAGCAACATCAGCCATTAGTAGCCAACTTAATGCCATCGAAAGGGAAGCTAAGATATAGCACATAGTTATGTACGATTTTGCTAGCATAGTAGACAAGTTTGTGTCCTCCTACAAGCTACTAGAGCAGCACACTTTCACCTACAACCTCTATAACAAGGTAGTCAGCTTTCTCACTACCTCTCTATATGTAGAAACTTCTAACTATGCCCCTATCTACCTTAGAAGCTAGCCCTCACTAGCAGCTACCTCTATAGGGCCGAAATCTGTTAGCTAGGCGGATGTGGCTAAGACCCTAAAAAACTTAGGGGCTTCTCTTTAGGGAGCTAGGGTCCCTCGTCCGTTTCTAGCAGCAGAGCAGCTATTGTAACCTTCTACGCTATAGGCTCTAGCTATAGCTATAGGACTGCTCTAAAGCAGGACATAAGACTCCTTATTATAGTAGTGTTACAGCTAGCATTTACAGCTACAACCTCACATGATGGATAGCAGAGGATATGTTAGATATTTGTTATCTATGATATCTCTAATATCCCTTTAGCATGACGCCACTATATAAGTAGATAGTATTCCCTTAGATAGGAGCTTCGTGCTCAACTTAATATAGTATTCTTTACAATACTATAACATGTTACTTAGAAAGCCTTTGTGTTTAATACCCTGCCTCCTCTGTTAAGTCAACCTTATACAAGAAACCTGTAAGGACACAGGGCACCCAGCTCACAGTAATAGCATATGAGAGTGCGAGTCGGAGGCTAAACGGATGCTATCCTATAGGTCTACTATGAAGGATACAGAAAAGATGAAGAGAGGAACCCCCGTTGGGTCAATCTCCTTAAGTATCCGAAACGGGCCCGACTCGGCTAACCTGCCTTTACTCTTATCATGTGACCGTAACCTGCCCGACTCAGATCCTTTCCGTCACTGAGGGACAGGCATCCTTACAAAACCTCTATGTCTTCTATCATTTAGAAGTCAGCATTACAAGTAGAGCAGGGTGCTCTACTCTAGCGACCTAAACCTTTCGCACTACACTAGGAACTTAGCACTAAAATCACTAGCCTCACCCTAGCCTTAGTCCTAACTATTGCCCCTACATGCATAGGTGTAATGGTGGGTGCACCAGATGTGAGAATCTAGCCACCCAAGGAAGGGATGATTTTACTAAGACAACACACTGTCTTAGGAAACAGAGCCAAAGGGTTGTAGCTTAGACTATTCCACAACGCAGCAATGAAGTGTATGATGTAGTGGAGTGGTTTAGACAAGTTGTACAAATGTTGAGTCTGAGAACTCAGGGATAAGTCAGAGGTGTAATGGTGGGTGCATCAGATGTGAGCAGTGTTGCCAGTAGTATATTGGTTCTTGGCAGTATATTGCGATATATATCGCAATATGAGTCTTGGCAATATAAACAATATGCTTGGCAATATGATATGGCCTTCCTTCATTCCTTGGCAATATGATATGCCCCACATTATATTGCCAATATAAACAATATAAACAATATCGCTTATTATAATACACGTGATGATAATGATGTTAAATATAGCTATAAGCTAGTAGATAAGTGCCGTTGAAAACTCTGCACGCGTAGTACTATTACTATTATATAGTAGTACTATGGCTTCAACAAATGCAGATTCTAGTAATTTATCTTCTCTTAATACTAGCAGCTTCCAAGACAATGCTGATGTGTTCTAGTTACAGTCCTCACAACTAGACCTTGATAGTACTATAGTACCTTCAATTTCATCAACAACCCAACGAGTACGAACCTCATGGGTTTGGCAACACAATAAGAGCCCTTCATTAATAGAGGATGCTAACAAGTGCATTTGGCAATGCTTATATTGTACTAAACAATACAAAGGGTCGGGTGGTACAGCTGCTCCAGCAAAGCACTTGACAGATTTACACCAAGTGACAGATACTTCAAAGGAGTTACAAGTTAAGAACATGCAGATGAGTATTTCAAGCGCCTTCTCAAGTGGAATAAGTAACCCATATAAACGGCGACGAGATACCGACTTTGATGCTCCAACATTTGAGCAGCTACTTGTCTGACTTATTGCTAGATGCTCATTATCATTCACAATTGTCCAACGCCCTGAATTCTGAGACTTAATACATTTCTTAAATGTTAATAGTGAAGAGTCTTTACCTCGAAGCCATAGTACTATACGAGAATGGGTAGTTCGAAGATACAAGCAAGAGAGGGTCAAGATTCAGCAAGCTTTGCAGTCATCTCAGTCGAAGATCCATCTTACCGTTGACTTATGGACATCTCCAAACACAAAGGCATTAATGGGTCTAATTGCACACTACATTGGGGAGAATGAAGGGCTTCGACAGTCGGTACTATCGCTACGAGAGCTAGAAGGACAGCATACAGGTGACAATCAAGCCCAATTAATATATACTGTACTTGAAGAGTATGGTATATTATCAAAAGTTGGGTATTTCATGATGGATAACAACTCTCAAGAAGCATCACAAGTACAGGTTGAAACATGGAGGAATGCAGGCCCGCTAGGGAAGCTACATAATATTGTAGTGTATATTCAACGTTCTCCCCAACGCCAGGCAACGTTTGAGAAGTATAGTGATGGTAAAAGGCTTGCTCGGGATAACAAGACTCGATGGAACTCATGGTACTTGATGCTTCATAATGCTCTTGATGACAATATGAAGAAAGCTATCAATGGATACTGTCACAAGGAGTACTACGACCTAAGCCAAGACGAATTGACAGAGAGTGATTGGATAATACTATCACACATCCATGACTGCCTCCAGTTCTTTCATGAAGTGACGTTAGCTACAGAAGGCCGAGAAGCTACACTAGAACAGGTATTATTATCTATGGAATTCCTTCTCGAGCAATTAGAGAAAGGCAAACAACAATTTCAAGACGATATAATACTTAGCCCATGTTTCAACTCAGCTTGGAAGGTTATAGACAAGTATTATGCACTAACTGAGCGGTATGTAATAGTACTATCAATAGTCTATAGTACTAACACTTTATAGGTCTTCTGCGTATATTGCTGCTGGAATACTCATTCCAAGTCAAAAATGGAAGTATTGCGAAGAGAATTGGCCTATTAACTGGGTAACACCAGCAAAGATAGCTGTTCAATCACTATGGGATGAGCATTACAAGCCAACAATTGAACCATCAATTATAGCTGCAATTCAACCTCAAAATAAGAAGAGCGCATTTGAGGAGTGGGCTACACAAAAACGCCGTCAACCAGCTATTCAAGATGAGTATTTGAAATACTGCCAAGCTCCAGTTACCCCTGAATGTGATGCTCAGGGTTGGTGGATGGAAGGCGCTCAGCGGATAGCATATCCAAACCTCCAAAAGATGGCTCTTGATATCTTATCAATACCTGCAATGAGTGCTGAGCCTGAACGTTTATTCTCAGGGGCAAAGATCACAATTACAGATTGAAGGATGTCATACTGACATTCGTTGCACTCAGTTTGCTATCAAACTCAAGAGCAAACTTAGAAATCTCCTCCTCAAACCTACAAGTCACCATACATATCTTGGCTTATCACACCAACAACAGAAGCAATACTACTCAACGATTGCTGCAAACTCTTCTACTACATCTGTTTATGCTACATACATCACGGCATATCATTTGAACACTCATTGAACAAGTTATTAAGAAAATCTCCTCCTTAAGGGGGTGGGCCAATACTACCACATGGCATATATCTACCAACTAGAGGCCTAGGAACATGAACGATAGCTCTAGAAGCTTCTACAACCCTCTATGATTCATTACACGTCATCGCTCCTTAGTTACCCACAAGATTGGTTAAGTTATGACATAATTTATCTATAGGTACTCTGACCTTGGACCTCCTTTTCACTTCCTATAGGCTAGGAACCCAAGAGATGGTTCTATGGGATTCTCTTACGTTCACTACATGATTAGCAAGCTAGTTGTGGGTCGCACTTGATTTCTAATACATTTACCAAGCCTGGTTAGTCATGGAAAGTCATGGAAAATGAGAGAACTACTCTCCTTTGGCATAAATAGGATTGCCCTTTCCTTAAGAAAGGGCAAGCAGGCAATACAGTAAATCGACTAGCACATACTTCTACGTCTTTTCCAAGCTTCCAAGCATTGATCTTGTTATTCTCTGTTTTTGAAAAGTCAGTGAGGTGCTAACCTCTGACTTACCCCTGAGTTCTCAGACTCAACATTTGTTGCAACTTGTCTAAACCACTTCACCACATCATACACCTGATTGCTGCGTTGTGGAATAGTCTAAGCTACAACCCTTTGGCTCTGTTTCCTAAGACAGTGTGTTGTCTTAGTAAATTCATCCCTTCCTTGGGTGGCTAGATTCTCATATCTGGTGCACCCACCATTACAATGGCTAAATCTTTCGACTAATTCTTGGATTGATGATGATGAGTAGTACTATTACTATTTCATTCTATATTAATGCTATTAGTTTCTAAATTATTATATATAGTATACTACAGCATAATACCTTACTGTCTACAGTATTATGGCGCAGACAGGCATCACAGTCAATTTGCCAGGTCAAGTGATGCTAACTACACGAGCTGCACTAACTGCACCAACTACACAAGCGTCACTCTAGGTTTGTGACATTTAATAGTACTATAGTACTATAAACTTCTTCTACGTAACAACCTCTGATCCTCCTCTACCTCCTCTACACTCTGACAAGCACGAGGAGCCGACCTCTGAGGAATGATGAATAAATCATCATCCCCATTAGGAAGGATGGGTTTGAGGAGGTCAGGATCCCCAACATGGGACTCTCTCTCATAACTCTGAAGGGCCTCAGCCAAGGCATCTAATGAGCCAGCGTCAGTGCCAAGAATATCACGCCTAATCCGAAGGATTAGGGCAATCTCCCGAGCAAAGAGGCGGCGACACCCAGCCTGAAGCCACTCATCCTCAGCCTCACGGTAAGTAAGACCCAAAACTGCCTGTCTCTCACCACTAGCTCCAACCATCTCTACCTCCTTCTCCCCCCAATCCCCCTCATCCCCCTCATCTCCCTCATTTCCCCCATCTTTCGCTTCTAAACTCGCTGGGCCCCATGCTGGTGAGGCAGCACCAACAGGGCGGGACGCAGAGACGACTGTAATGGTGGGTGCACCAGATGTGAGAATCTAGCCACCCAAGGAAGGGATGAATTTACTAAGACAACACACTGTCTTAGAAAACAGAGCCAAAGGGTTGTAGCTTAGACTATTCCACAACGCAGCAATCAGGTGTGTTATGTAGTGAAGTGGTTCAGACAAGTTGCAACAAATGTTGAGTCTGGGAACTCAGGGGTAAGTCAGGGGTTAACACCTCACTGACTTTTCAGAAACAAGGAGTAACAAGATGAATGCTTGGAAGCTTGGAAAAGACGTGGAAGTATGTGATAGTCGATTTACTGTATTGTCTGCTTGCCCTTTCTTAAGGAAAGGGCAATCCTATTTATGCTAAAGGAATGTAGTTCTCTCATTTTCCAAGACTTTCCATGACTTACCAGGCTTGGTAACTGTAGTCGATGTAAGAGAATCCCATAGAACCATCTCTTAGGTTCGTAGCCTATAGGAAGTAAAAGGAGGTCCAAGGTCAGAGTACCCCTATAGACAAATTATGTCATAGACAAATTATGTCATAGACAAATTATGTCACAGACAAATTATGTCATAACTTAACCAATCTTGTGGGTAACTAAAGAGCGATGACATGTAATGAATCATAGAGGTTCGTAGGAGCTTTTAGAGCTATTGTTCATGCTCCTAGGCCTCTAGTTGGTAGAGATATGTCATGTGGTAATATGAGTGATGTCATGTAATGAATCATAGAGGGTTGTAGAGATATGCTATGTGGTAATATCGGCCCAGTAACTAAGGAGCGATGACGTGTAATGAATCATAGATGGTTGTAGCAATCGTTGAGTAGTATTGCTCTTGTTGTTGGTGTGATAAGCCAAAATATGTATAGTGACTTGTAGGTTTGAGGAGGAGATTTCCAAGTTTGCTCTTGAGTTTGATAGCAAACTGAGTGCAACGAATGTCAGTATGACAACGACGAGGCGGGGCGCAGAAACGATGAGGCGGGGCGCAGAGACAACAAGGCGGGGTGCAGCAGCACCAACAGGGCGGGGTGCAGAGATGACAAGACGGGGTGCAGCAGGAGGAGGACGACCAGCAGCGACACCAGAACCAGCAGCGCCAAGGAAAGAGCACGACCCTGTACCCGTAAAGTGGGCACAGTTGGTGCAGCGGCCATCAGGGTGGGCAGTAGTGTTTATAGTGCAGCAAGCAAACTCATGCTTTACTGTGCCTTTCATGCAGCGGGAGCAAGCAGCAAGGGCGACAACAGCGCGAGAATGAGCCATTTCAGCTAAAGCTTGACTCTTTCTAGAGCCTTTGAATTGTTGAAAGTCGGCTAGAGAAATATCAGGAGGGCCTTCTAGTATGCGTGGTTGTGCCATTACAGCAGGAAACTTTGATGGCGGTGCCATATTTGCCTATTTTCAAGTTAGTATATAACATAAAATAGTAATTAATAGTATTATAGATAGTACTATTGTCGTACTTACTGATCTTGCATATAGTAACGATGTAGAAGAAAGAAGAAAGAAGAAAGGAAGGGCAAAATAGTGAGGTTATAGCTTAACATCATAACAGGTGTTGATAGTACTACAATAAGTAGTACTATCAAAACAATAGTACTATAATAAGTAGTACTATAAAAGCAATAGGGGTAACTTAAACACGTGATATTCTGCACTATTGTTGTCACGTGATGTCCATATTGTTTATATTGTTTATATTGTTTATATTTATATTGTTATATTATACTGTATTGCCAAGCTTTATTAGCGCCATATTGTGACAATACAATATGGCCTTTGGCCGTATTGTGGCAATACAATATGGGAATTTCCTAGCAATATACTGCCAAGCCGCACTATTGGCAACACTGGATGTGAGAATCTAGCCACCCAAGGAAGGGATGATTTTACTAAGACAACACACTGTCTTAGATAGCCAAAGGGTCGTAGCTTAGACTATTCCACAACGCAGCAATCAGGTGTATGATATAGTGGAGTGGTTTAGACAAGTTGTAACAAATGTTGAGTCTGAGAACTCAGGGATAAGTCAGAGGTTAGCACCTCACTGACTTTTCAGAAACAAGGAGTAACAAGATCAATACTTGGAAGCTTGGAAAAGACGTGGAAGTATGTGATAGTCGATTTACTGTATTGTCTGCTTGCCCTTTCTTAAGGAAAGGGCAATCCTATTTATGCTAAAGGAGTGTAGTTCTCTCATTTTCCAAGACTTTCCATGACTAACCAGGCTTGTTAACTGTAGTCGACGTAAGAGAATCCCATAGAACCATCTCCTAGGTTCCTAGCCTATAGGAAGTGAAAGGAGGTCCAAGGTCAGAGTACCCCTATAGACAAATTATGTCATAACTTAACCAATCTTGTGGGTATCTAAGGAGCAATGACGTGTAATGAATCATAGAGGGTTGTAGCAATCGTTGAGTAGTATTGCTCTTGTTGTTGGTGTGACAAGCCAAAATATGTATAGTGACTTGTAGGTTTGAGGAGGAGATTTCTAAGTTTGCTCTTGAGTTTGATAGCAAACTGAGTGCAACGAATGTCAGTATGACATGCCTCCTACTAGGTATTAGACAACAGCGCCTCTAGCTATGAATTATAGGGCGATGCCTCCTACTTATCCTAATGGGCATTCCTAGCCTACTAGGAAGCAATGGAATCCGCTAGTCTCCTAGACATACTAGCATTAAGGGCAATGAAGCAGTAGACAAGCTAGCTGACCTTAGGGCTATAGCACTAGCACTAGATACCTCAACTCGTGCCTTACAACCTACTGTTAGCAGAATCTGTATAGTCTTTAGGGAACTCTAGACAGAAGCATAGCAGTCCTAGTAGACCTAGCATAGCACTAAGCTCTCTACCTAGTACAAGAAATGGAACCTTAGCTACTACGTGAAATCACCACTAGAGCTTGACCTCCCTAGGGCCACACTCTATAGCTCCTTGCAATATGCTCTGCCTATAGCAACTTCTCTTAGTACTATACAAAATTCGCTTATAAGGACGCCTAACTACTACATCATGTACATAGGAAGACTACTATAACATCTACATTTCGCTGCTAGCCCTAGCGACTAGCAGCACTACTAGACAACAATGCTATAGGCCTTAAATATCTCTTATGCCTAATGGCTAAACTAGGTCATAGAGTTCTATACAAAAATCTACACCCGTAGGCTAGCCTAGTACAACTTACCCCTATATAGCCTAAGAAAGCCATAGCTTCTGCTAGCCCTATAGGGGCTCTAGGTTAACAGGACATAGTCCTAGAGGATATCTACTCTATATTTTCGCAAACTAGCAGTCGGGGTCTAGGTTAAACACCCCTACACTCCCTTTAACGACACTACACTTTGTTCAAAGACACCTATTCCTAATTTTCCTACTATGTTACCACCTACTACCAAGCTATAGAGCTGCAACTCCGTAGCAAGGCCGTAGGGCACACTACACACTAGACTCGCACCAACCAGTCCCGCCTACACCCCCTTTCGGGAGAACCTCCGAGGCACCGCCCTCTACTAGCAAACCTAACACCATCCTAATTAGCAGGGAAGGCGCTTAGTTAACGGGCCTTACAGCCACGCAAACACGCAAGAACTGCTCTCTAAGGTCATACTCTGTATAAAAACCCATAGCTTAGCACGTCCCCATACCCTTCGAGAGGTCTTAGGGCCGCGGGTTACACCCGCATTCTGCCGCTAGACGTAAATAAATATCATCATCATCATCATCATCTACCGAACTGTGGCAGCCAGGTGACAAGAGTTATCTTTGGTTATGAAAGTGATGTGTGGAGACTAGCGAGGACGATAGTCTCGTATTTGGCTGCTCCGATGATCGTGATTGAGATTGAGATGAGATGAGATGAGATTGTCGCAATCAGGCCCCTCCCCCCACAGTGTTCCAACACCAGAGCTTCGGTCCGTTTGATGATTGGATTGGCTTGCCACGCATGCTGTATACTAGAGTAAGCGAGGAGCAATCCCACTGACGTTAGCACAAGGACATGTACATGGTATGTACAGGGTATGCAGGCCGGGACCATACTTCGGTAAACAGTGCTCGCGGTCAGCAGTGGCACAGAGCAGCATAGTGCAGTGTAGTAGCGTACAGTATCAGATAGGGAGGAGCGCAAATTGCAGCTCCACGCTTGTCGCTGACCATGAACCCTGAGTACTCAGGACCGCATGCACTGAGCGAATCGCAATCAGCTCAACTCGCCCTGCTGCCCGATCGCCGATGCGCTATCACGTCGGAGCCGACTGGTGGGCGGGTTTCAAGCCCACTTTCGCCATAGTTAGCCATAGCACTGGGGGAGGATGTGAGGGGCGGAGTTAATTTGGCCAGTCGGGTTTTCTGGGGGTCCTCCATTGGCCAGGCAGAGTTAGTACTCAAAAGGTTGTACTGCAACTGCAACTGCAACTGCAACTGCAACTGCAACTGCAAGCTGCGTGGGATTGTACAGAAGGCATTGTGCACTTGATGCACGGCGTGTATGTATGTGTTGTGTTTTTGTGCATTGTTACCTGGCCCTCTTGGTCGCTTCCGCTGTGGCCGAGAAAAATTAGAAACACAATGTCTCTGAGATAGAGCCTCTCTGGGCGATGAAGGTAAGGATGCTCTGCCGTGTCTCTCGCTTTCGTCGGTGAAAATAGCTGTAATAATCCCAACCTCGGCGTCGCCGCAGGAACGCCGACGTAAGAGCGCCGAAAGGTGATGAGAAGTTCGAGAGTTGTGAGTGGGAAGCGGAGGGTACATTAATGCCCAACCAGGCCTAGTGTACCACCAACATAAAATCCACGATGGGTCTAGCGAACAGTCCCACTTCGCCCCTTGCAAACAAGATTGATGATCTCAAGTAGCTCACTGTACTTTGGAGCGCGTCTCTCTCCGCTCTTTGTTCAAACCGAAGAGCCCCGTCTTGTGCTGCAATTTGGCCCGCTCTTTGGTGCACCATTTGTGGCGTATATATACGGATAACATGCTATTGGCGGAGATATAGAAGTCTGGTAGACTTATTCCAATGTTGGGGACAGATGGGCGCGAGTTCTGATCGTAAGTTACCGTATCTCTGCGCGTGGCCGTCGCATGGCAGGTGGCTCCGGGCCGTCGGGATCCAAATTGAGGAATGGCGGCTTTTGTCGCAAAGGATAGGGGGATGTTTGCAGGCGCCTCTCCCATTGTCATTGATGCGGTAAAGTGGCTGGCTGTGCTTGACTGTCAGAATTGTTGGTAAAGAGACCTGTCAGGTCAGACACGCGGTCACCCTCGCGTTTGTCGACTCCTCGACCTTGGAACTCCGCTCTTCCTTGCCGATCGGCTAACGGCGGTGGGCATCTCATCGACTAGGGCCACAATCACCTCCACTGACCGTACTGTACCTTTGTATGCATTCTAGACTATCGCAGCTTCTACAGGCCACGAAATGCTCGGCTAGAGCTTTCAACCAGTATCCCTGCTCGCACGCACTAAGAGGCGGAGTTGGTGTGTAATCACCTAAAACGGTCCATCGGAGCGAATGGTGACGAGCGATACATGGGGGCAGCCCACCATCTTGCTCTCGTATCCTTACCGCATCCCGTTGCCAACGAAGAGCTGGCTCTGAATCGTGTTTCTATTGAATTTGTACATGCGGCGTGCATAATAATGTGGCTGTATGACTGGTTAGGCTGAGAACGGAAGATATTCGTTCATAGGAACACATCCCGACACGTTTTTGCCAAGACGATGGAAGCGAGGCAGTCAGGCGGACCGCCTTCGACTCGCATTGATAGGATGATGAGGAGGCATCTTGAAGAGGTCATGGATTCATGCGCGCCATGAGATTGATGGAATCCTTCCGCGGCCGATTCCCAGCACGACTGCTGAATCTTCTAAATGAGACCAATCTGACTCGAGTTTAACCGCTGCTGCCATGTGAGGCCGTCTGTACAACGGCGATTTGTTTGCTTCTGTCTCAAACGAGGAAGCCGTGATCTATACGTACCTTCGGTATGAATCGCTCTGTCGTTTGTCAGTTCTGCGATGTCTCTTTGGCCCTCTTTTGCCCATGGGCAACGACAAATTGGCATGCAGTGTATGCGATGATTGATTCACACACGCGGTACCCTCATTTGGCATTTTAAGAGTGGCCGATGCGTTTGGGCCCGGTGGTTTGCCAGCTGCAAGGATTTGATGACAACAAAGGGTTCAGCATCTGGATGACCCCTTGTCAATCTGTCGGGAGAGCACTGAGATCCTCCTCTCCGATCTGTGGTAGAGGAGCACGCGTACGCTTGTTCCACGGAGTACATGCCACAAGCTCCGAGAAGATTTGACAGCCCCGATCACCAATCCCCAAGTTGGTTTCCGAGGTCACGACAATGTTTGATGGCCCATGCGGATGAACCTTGCAGGAAGGGGCGCTTCCGTCTGTCTCTTGTCACTCCAACCTATCTCACCTCATCCTCACAAATCGTCTGAATGCATGGCACTGTTGGTGGTGGCGTTGGGGAGGGGGAGGATGATGCCCATGCCACATGCCCCATGGACCATGGCCCGCCCTTGTTCCGTTCTTCTCCACCCCAACCCTAGCACCCCACCATCAGGGACGGCCATCGCTTGGCGGCCACGAGCGACTCTCCCGCCGATCAGAACTCTCGGGAGGCAGCGGCTAGAGGGATCCCATCATGCGTCCGCCACCTCGGTTGGGTAGCCCAAGCTAAGTAGCCACAAAAGAGATTGGGAGGATCGGGAACAATGGACGCCACCCCTACCAGAGGAGAGGTCGCGAGATGAGAGAAGATGGAGCTACTGTAAGACTTCCTCCAGTTGGATGCATCTTGTTTTCTTCTGAAGAGCCGTGAGCATAGTAGCCTAGATGGGATGGGATGTAGTTAGTGAGGATACACGGTTCGTATATAGAGTGCATAGAGTGTGCATGTGCATAGATAGTGGAGTCAGTGGAGTCAGTGGAGTAACCTTTTTTAGTTTGGATTCCAGTGAGCATCATGGTGAGAAGTTCCAAGATCGGAAACAGCGGCGGAGATTCTGTTTGATAGGCAGGCAGAAGCATATTCCAGCCTCTCTAGCGCGGGGATGATGATCCTGTCGCGTAGGCATACGTATGTATGGCAGGGTGACACTGGATCGTCAGCTCGGGATGGGAGAAGCAAGGAAGTATTGTGCATAGTGAGGTCTGTGATGGGCGGTGATGGGCGGTGATGGGCGGTGATGGGCGGTGATGGGCAGTGTTAGGGGGTGATGGGCAGTGTTAGGGGGTGATAGGGGTAATGGGCAGGCGGACCATTATCACCCCCCATGGGATGGGGTGGGAACGATGGGGCGGCACCAGAGACACCAGAGACAGCCAGAGACCATGAACCATGAGAAACACCCCCCAAGATTGTGTAGTTTTTGTCTTTATCCCCAGCCCTGGCAATGTATGTACCAGCGGTCTTACCAGTGGGTTGACCAACGGCCTTGACCTCCGTACATGTTGTAGTGTAGGGTAGGGTAGTGTAGGGCAGTGTAGGGCAGTGTAGTGTAGGGCAGTGTAGTGTAGGGTAGTGTTCTACTCTGCCAGTCTACTCTCTCTACACCTAAAGTTACAGCTACCGCGTTTATTTTACTAGGAGGTACTACTCTTCTATTCGTCTCTCTCCTGCCCCAGAAATCCCAAGTAAATCTATACTACCTATAGCACGGACTTAGGGGGCACTATAGCAGGTACTATACTACATACCACAGTATAACAGCCACTATACTGCTACTCGTAAACATATCCGCTTTTTGAAGTTATACTAGGTAGCGTAGACTGCATTAAATAGACGACTACCAGGTACTCTACTAACTATAACTAAGATTATGCTAAGTCTACGACTCTACTAACTATACTAACTATACTAACTCTGCTAACTCTGCTAACTCTGCTAACTCTGCTAACTCTGCTAACTCCACTAACTCCACTATACTACCTACACTTCACTAACACTATGTGTACTTTTATATTATACAAAAGTGACTTCAATTCAACTCCCTCTAACCATCTTGCTCTCTCATCGCCTCACCAACTACACTATCCACCCCCTCCACCCCCTCCACCCCCCCATTCATTCTTCTTGGCCGTCTCTCAAAAAAGACCCTGGGACCCCTCCAAATACCCTATTCGTTCAAGTCAAGTGTTACTCTATTCAAGACCAATCAAATAATCAATCGATCGATCGATCATCCTTCCTGATCCCCTCATATAATTACTCCCACCCACTTCACTCCTACATACCCATACATACCATACCCTCCCAGACCATACAGACCTCATACCCAGAGACCAACCCGCAGGTCAACTACATAACGCCCTCTATAGCTTCCTTGCTATAGGTATACCATCTGCACTCCCCCGATTACCTATCGTCTCCTTCCCCATCCCATCCGTCACCTGGGACAAGCCTAGCGAGCGAATCTGGCGATCGGCTTCAGATCAGATCTCATCCAAGTGCAGAATATACCCCCCCTCTTCCCCCAAAACTCGGGCATACTTCCTCGAAACCTCTCCAATCATCATTGCCGGCTAAGGGCCTCGTTGGAACGGACATTTCTTCTATTAAGGGATCCGCGGCCGAAATAATCCCCCACGAGTTCCGATTATCGACCTCGTCGTTATCAAGGCAGCCTTGCGCCCCTCACAGCCAACATCCACCCACTCGGATCACCTGGGATTTGTGGTTGCGCCATATCCACGATCTTGGCTGAAGTGAAGCGCCAGTCGCCTTCAGAGAATCTCCCTCCACTACCACCTACTTGAGCGCCAAAGCACGTTGATATGGAAGCGTAACAAGCAAGTTCACAGGTACGCCCGCCTCCTCGCAAGGCTCTCCCATTTTGCTGACTCTCCATGGCAGCGTATCTATAAAACAAGACAATTCCGGGCCTAATCTTCACTGCGACCATATATTATTATATCATCATATATTCCCACAAACCAAACAATGGCATCTGTTGCAACCATGAACCCCGCAAAGGTCTGCGGACCGTATTCCCTAGGAAGCCGCCCTCCACCCTCTCCATACTCACAACCTCAGTCCGCGCAACCTAGCCCATACTCCGTCTCCGGTTTAATATCACCTCCAATCTCGAACGCAGCAGAGTCGAGGAGAACATCCGACGACCCTGCCGAATACGCTCCACAACAACGGCAATCGCTGCCTTCGATATCAGAGGCGCTCTTCTCCAGATCAAGCACACAAACCCCCTCGCAACCTCCAGCCGCAGCCCCAGCACCATCACAGCAGTTCGCAAACCCGAATCCCTTCGCCCACCCATCTCCAACGCCTACTTCGCGGTCATATAGCAGCGAAGGACCACCCTATTCGACACAGCAGCCGAACCACTCCCAATACCCGCAAAGGCCCTCGCCACCACCTCTGCAACCGCCATCCTCATACCCCGGCTACAATCACTTCAGCGCCCCAAACCCCGATGCCCAAAGACACCAATCTCTCCCATCACTCCCATCACTCCGCACCGCCCTACCCTCACAAACGAATCCCTTCCCGGCGCGCCAGCCTGAGCAAGCCCGATACGAGCAAGCCCCGCGCCCTGGGGAGCGCCCAGAGAACCACCTCCCGCGACGACACAACGATCCATATTACGGCTACCCTACCGCCGATTCGACGGGATACACACCCGAGTACTCCGCGCAACCTCGCTCTCTCCCATATTACAATGGCCAAGGCCAGCCCAACCGCGACGAGCCCAGGGGCATAAAGCGCGACTTAGAGAATGGGGAGCCTGAGCCATCGATGATGTTCCAGAAGACCCTCCAGCACAACCTCCGCAACCACGATTTCGAGATGGCGCTCAGCGAGGTAAGTTCTCTCTCTCCACCCAAAAGAAAACCACCCCCATAACACTCCCCACAGCTCCAGCAATGCGGCACCGAGATCTCCAAAATCTCCGAAGACATCCTCGACACCATGCGCCGCAGCCAGCGCGACCCCGACGCCCAAGGCATCCCCGTAATGCGCTTCCACGACCCTATGCTCGGATGCCAGCGCAAGCTAGACGAGGCCTTCCATAATGTGAAGCAATACATGGCGCAGCAGCAGCGCATTCTCGACGATCATCGCCAGCGCAACCAGAATGGTGGTCCAGGGCCGGAGTATGGGAGCGAGGAGGAGCAGTGGGGGGTTGATAAGGAGCAGGGGTTTTCGGGGCCGGATCCGAAGAAGATTAGGAGAGGTGTAAGTTTTGTCCCTATCTCTGTTTGGAAGAATATGGCTGACAACTGCACAGCGCGCTGCACCACCAGGACGCTGCCATAGCTGTAATCGCGCCGAGACGCCCGAGTGGCGACGCGGTCCAGATGGCGCGCGTACGCTATGCAATGCGTGTGGACTGCACTACGCGAAGTTGACAAGGAGGAACGGGACGAAGCAGACACAAGGCATGGTAGAAACATCACTCCGTCCGAAATCGCTGGATGGCACGTCGCCGTTGTCATAAGAGCTTTAAGTGCTTTTGCACACACTCAGGCGCCAGGAATGCGGACAGGGAGGAGGGTAATCAATATACGGATTCGATAGACGGAGCTCCTCAGACTTACGGAAGGAGCGATGGGGATTAGAATTGGCCTGGACCGCCTTGAGCGATTTAAATTGGGCTGGGTCCGGCTCACGGCGTAGATGCCTTGGAGCATACTACAGCCACACACACATCAGCGCATCACAGCGATGCCAGCCTTGACGGCAACCAGACACACCAACGGGTTGGATTAGACACTACCGACCAACATTACTACCACCGACACTGATACCTCGATACCATATTTTTTGTTTGCAGGATCCAGGATTCACACATGACACTTATTCTATTATTATTATCAGCATTGTTTGTACGCATCTGTATAACGCCGTGCACCACATATCGTATCGTTGTGGCGCGACTGTTATGTCATATATCCGAGGGGGGTTATTAGAAGGAGGGGGGAAGGGAGGCATAGATGGGATGGGGTGGGATGGAGATATCGGAGTTATTTTGAGCGGGATTTACTTTACTCTAAGGGTTGGGTTCTTGTATGTCATTTTGGGGGGGGTTGAAAGGGGGAAAAGGGGGGGGGGGTAACATACTATACCATTATCGGTTGCATTCGGATTATATTATACCATATCACACTGTTCAGCTCTATGTCTATCTGCATCTATGTCTCTGCCTTCACTTCCTACTCACCACCCCCACCTCCTTCTGCCTACCCTCTACCCTCCAAACCTCCTCCGCCCTTTCTTCTTTCCCTTGTCCCTTCCACTCTCCTACCCTGTTTGCTCCCCCATCAACCAACCCCGTGTAACACCCCCATCTGCTTACCAACCCCCACCACAATCTTATCCTCCCACCCGCCGTACCACCATGGCCTCATCACATCACCTTATAGCCTCACCTTCGTACTACCCCTCCGCCCTCTCCACCCCCACAAGGTGATGACTCCGCTCATGGGATGGGAGATGGAGAGGGACTGGGGACTGCCCCCCCTGATGGTTTCGTGATCCCCGATCTGAATCCCCCGATACCTGCACAAGACACACATAACAGCACAAAACCGCGTGCAACAAACAATTTACGTGCAACATCGCTTCCCCATCAGCCTCCACCCCCCATGATCGCCTACCCAGCATCTCACACAAACTCGCTTACCCATCCCAAATCAAGACCCCCCCCAAACGCAGTGAAACTTCGGTGGTGCGTGCCAGGAACCTCGTCGTCGGGATAGGGGGGTCATTGCGCCGGGAAGTCTAGGACGGGCAAGACGGGCATCAGCAGCTCGCCGTGTGGCGTTTTCCTGTCTCTCTCCTCGTTTTCGTCTCCGTCGCTCGAGGGGGGGGGCGGGATTACGATTTCGGGAATCGCGGACGGATGGACGCGAGGGGGGGGGGCAAGCATGGGATGGGATGGTGGGAGGTAAGGGGGCGGGAATGAGATGGGATGCGGGGGGGGAGGGGAGAGAGGGGGAGGGGAGAGGGGGAGGGGAGAGAGGGGGAGGGGAGAGGGGGAGGAGAGAGAGGGGGAGGAGAGAGGGGGAGGGGAGAGGGGGAGGAGAGGGGGAGGAGAGAGGGGGGGAGAGGGGGAGGTATGGGGATGGGGATGGGGATGGGGGTGAGGTGAGGGAGAGACATGCGAGTCATTGGCACGTGTGTGACTTCTGATGATATGTGATAACTGAGCCGCACTGCTCCTGGCGGGTTCAGTACATAGGATCGCACTGCTCCTGGCGGTTTCAGTAATAGGATCGCGAGTGCGTGAGTGCGTGAGTGACTGAGATATATATTCCGAGACAAATGTTCCCCTTCCACACTTATCACGGTGTTAGGCGGCCTAGCTCCATCTCTGGTTCATCGCCAGACACCGATCTCGACTACAGTACAGGGCTCATGTTGGGTTTATGGCCGACGCTGATTTGTCTGGCTGGCTGGCTTTTTGCACATCAGGGATGATGACGTTATCCCGCTACTCTACTGCGGGTTGCCGCTTGGACGCTGAAAAGAAAAGAAAAGAAAAAAGGAGAGAAGGGTATTGTAATAGTGGCAGATGGCGGGATTGGTAAGCTTGTATGTTGAAAATCCTCAAAGTACCGCCCGCCCTTCATCCACATCCCTCACCGGCCTCCTCTGCCAAAATCATAACCCGGATTGATAATCAACCCTCGTCCTCACACCGTCATCACACTCGCTGCCTCGGGAGCGCGTCCGCTAGAAATATCTACTGCCAAGGCCCACCCCACCAAGGCGGCGCCGTGCTTCGGAAAGAGCCCTCCCCTCCATTGACACATATTTTATCCGCCCGCCGCCAGAGAATAGACTGAGACTGAGTTGCGCTCCGAGAACGATAATAGAAGAGGGGTTAGGACGGCTGCGCTGCGATGGGCCTTCTGTGAGTTTTTCTTGCGTTCTGCTACCTTGTGCGGGGTGAAGTTGCGAGGGGGCGCGAAGGCTGACTTTTGGTTTCAATTTACAGTGCCCTGGGGACCCCGCTGGAGTGGCCCGAGGCAAAGAAGAATGCGGATCATGTTCGCGACTGGGGGATTAAGGTATACATATAAATTTGATTCGTGGATGAGCGAGTGGCAGAGGCTGACTTGTGTGCAGCAATTACTAGCGATATGGAACAAGGCGAAGGGCAAAGAGCGGGATGCTCTGCTGTGGGGAGACGAGGTGGGCATTTATACACATCTGGTATTGAGGGAGTAAGGCTTACAATGGGGAAGGTTGAATATATCGTCGTCAACTACGATGAGAATGACCCCAAGGTCACTTTGTCGTTGCGACAGGCCGATATCCTGCACTCGCTTGCTCATGATGATGAGTTGAAGTCGAAGGGCGGGTGTGTGCCAGATCTGCAAGATGTGGCTTCCGCGAAGTAAGGGCTCTCTTCGCCTCTGGTGCTGGAGCGATTCTGACAAGTTGCAGCGGGGATACTCTCCCAGTTTTCCACCCCGAATTCGGCAGGTTCATGCTCGAGGCGACACCAGGAAAGCCATGGGGGATTGGGTTCAAGGATCTCCTTGATGTGGAGCAGAACATGAAGTGGCGGTATGCTTTCACTTCCAATGCTTAAGCCCCTTTGCTGATAGACATAGGCGGAAGATTGCCAAAGAGCACATGAAGCCCGAGGAATACCCCATGACTCTGACAACCTACCCGCGCTTGGGATCACCAGGCGTATTCACCGACCCCTACTTCCCTCCCTCCGGCGAAAAACTCCGATCCCAATTCGTGCCCGACGAGATCGCGAACCCGCACATCCGCTTCCCCACCCTCGCAGCCAACATCCGCTCCCGTCGCGGCCGCAAGGTGCAGGTCAACGTCCCAATCTACAAAGACGTGAACACGCCCTGGCCATGGAAGGACCCCACCGTCAACTACGACCTGCACAACTGGCCCGAGGACGACGATGTGCGTAACGGCGCCGCGCCGGATAACTTTATTCACATGGATGCGATGGCTTTTGGAATGGGCAGCTGCTGTCTGCAGATCACGTTCCAGGCTAAGAATATTACTGAGGGACGAAGGATGTACGATCAATTGAGCCCGCTGGCCCCGATTCTGCTCGCCTTGACGGCTGCTACGCCGGTGTACAAGGGATTTCTCGCCGATACAGACGTGCGGTGGAACCAGATCAGCAGAGCCGTAGACGACCGAACAGCCGAAGAACTCGGCGAGAAGGTTCGCCCCCCTCCCCCTTCCCCTCCTCCCCTCCCAAAATGACACCAACTAACCCCTCCCCTAGCCCCTCGAGCACGACCGCTGGCGCATCCCGAAATCCCGCTACGCCTCCAACTCAACCTACATCTCCAACGACTCGCGCCTCCGCAAAGAATACCTCGACCCCGACCTCGTGATCGACCCAGACATCAAACAGCAGCTCATGGACGGCGGCATGGACTCCCGCCTCGCCACACACTTCGCGCACCTCTTCATCCGCGACCCCATCGTCATATTCGCCGAGGACCTCACCACCCTCGACCTCTCCAAGACGGACCACTTCGAGAACCTGCAGTCTACCAACTGGCAGCACATGCGCTTCAAGCCGCCGCCCGCGGGCGTGGATATCGGGTGGCGCGTCGAGTTCAGGCCGATGGAGATACAGATTACAGATTTTGAGAACGCGGCGTTTGCGGTGTTTATTGTGCTTGTCACCCGCGCGATCCTCAGCTATGATCTCAATTTTTACATTCCGATTCAGAAGGTTAGTGAGAATATGGAGACGGCGCATAAGCGTGATGCAGTGCTGGAGGATAAATTCTGGTTCCGTCGCAATCCGCTCCCTACGCGCTTACCAAGGCCCTACAACGCAGCGGGGAGCGGGGCGTCTACACCTGTTGTTTCGCGCCCGCCTACCCCTACTGGGCCGGTGGAGGACGAGTATGCCCAGATGAGCGTTGATGAGATTGTGAACGGCAGCTCCGAGTTCCCGGGGTTGATTCCGCTGGTAGAATCCTACCTCGGCAGCGTGAATGTAGATGTTGAGACGCGCTGCGAGTTACAGCGGTATCTGGATCTGATACGCCGACGCGCGGATGGCACGCTGTGGACGGCGGCGAGGTGGATTAGGGAGTTCGTGAAGAGGCATGAGGGGTATAAGGGGGATAGTGTGGTGGGGGAACAGATTAATCATGATTTGATTGGGGCGGTTATTGGGATTGAGAGGGATGGGGGGAGGGGGTGGCTAATGTGGAGAAGTTGCTGGGGAAGCAGAGGCAGAGGCGGGGGCAGTAATTTGCAGGGGGGATATAGGGAGGGGTTTTTTGTTTATAGATGGGGGTGGGGAAGCCTCTTGGGAGGGACTTGGATGGACATAAAATTACTTACTTACATAGCTGGGAAGAAACTTGGGATTGGTATATGAACGCATCATACAATTAGGATATAACAATGTGAGCCATTATCTGCTTTTATTGACTTTTAACATATCTGTGGCTTTCCGCCATAAGGCGTCCGTCTGTCCACCCTTATAGAGAGGTCTGACCCCGTCTGAACCATTTTGCGCAAAAGCGCCCCCATTCTACCAAAAGTGCGCAAATCCGGCACCTGCTGCCCCGTGCTGCCGCCCCCCCCTTTTCCCATGCTTCGCCGTACCCCTATGAGCTTTAGTGAACGATCCTCAAGAGCATTCCTAACCTCTCGTCAGCTCCTGTGACCCCCCGTCAGCCTTGTAAACCACTGTCGACCTCTGTGATCCCCCTGTAGTTCGTGGGGAGTATCGTTTTTGCGCAAGCCCAGCCTTCTATAGCTGGATTTGCGCAACAGCAGCGCTTAGCGCAGCAGCAAGGTAACAGGGGGCGATTATCAACCTTGCCGCCTCTTGCTGCCTTGCCGCTGCTCCCCGTAGACCACCGGCCTCATTTTTGGCCCCTTCTGCGCAAATCTGCACCTTGCTAGACAGATTTGCGTAAAAGCAGGTAAAGTGAGGCCGGTGGTCTAACAACGGGTAGATTTGTGTATAAACATAAGTGCAGCACTTGCCGCACCTCCTATGTCTCATAGCAGCTACTCATATAGCAGCTAGAGGTTGGGGTTCTATGTAGACAGTTTGTCTCGCCGATGGACAATGGTAGTCAGCTTTGTGAGCAGTTTGGCCTAATAAGGGGGGGCGAGATGCAGCTGGCGTGAGGTGGCGGCAGCGGCCGGTGAGGGGCGGCAAACCCCTTTTGCGCTAATTCGGCGCCTGCAGGTGGGATTTGCGCATAATCAAAGGCTTGGCATCATTGCTAGGCTTACAGTAGCTTCACAGGGCTTCTAGTGGCTTTGTAGGGCGTTTGTTAGATTTGCAGTGGCTTGCTACACTTGCTGTAGGTTTGCTAGCCTTGTAGCTGTTTGCTACCCTTGCAGCAGCTTTGCCCGACCTATAGTAGTCTACCAGACTCATAGCAAGCGGCAAGCGACAGGCAGCAGCGGCGCCGTCGGTGAGGGGCGGCAAGCGATTTGTGCGCAAATCCAAACTCTTCAGGATGGATTTGCGCAACTGCGAAGCGAGGTGGTTTGCTACACTTGTAGCTGGCAGCGGCAGCTTGCAGCAGCTTTTCAAACTTAGAGTAGCCGGCAGCTAGCGGCAGTAGAGCTCGGTGAGGGGCGGCACGCTCGTTTTGCGCAAATTCGACCGCCTTGAGACGAATTTGCGCCAAAGCGAAGCGAGGCAGTTTGCAGGCCCGACAGCGGTATGCAGGACTTGCTGCAACCTAGCAGCACTTGCAGTGGCTTGCTAGTTTCGTAAAAGCTAAGGTTAGACCCATAGACTAACCGTTAGTCTAGCAGACCGCTACCCCGGTAGCAGTTGGACTTATGAGGTAGGTGGGTAGCGGCAGGCGATAGCAGGCGGCGACAGACAGCGGCAGGCAGTGGCGACTACCGCGGTGAGGAGCGGCAAGCTGTTTTTGCGCAAATTTGGCCCCTGTTGGACAAATCTGCGCAAACTGAGCGAGGCCGTCAGCTTGCTAGCCTTGCAGCAGATTGCTAGCCTTACAGCTTGCAGGTTTTGCGGTAGGCAGAAAATAGGCGACAGTAAGAGGGGGTGGCAGGATCAACCCCCTTTCAGTTGAGTTTGGACTAGTTAGGTGTCAGTTCAGACTCTGTGATAGGAGTTGGGTGGCTCACGAACCTGCCATAATGCACGATCTCTCTCCAAACTTTTAGGCGGCACAATACTCTTCACAATCACCACTCAATTCAAAACCATGAGCCCATAGAAACGTACTAAATGCACTATAGCTAGCTCGCGCAAAGAGAGATATGTAAAGTACATCAAAACCAGAGTATCCTAACCATAAACAAGAATCGGACACATAACCCAGTCCTGAAGGCTCCACCAAGCGGTAAGGCCATGAGATAAAAATATATGGCAAAATCGACCCCCCAACTCCTTCACGTTGCTCAGAACGGCAGACAGTGCGGACCTAGGAAATAGAACGGCTCGAAAGACATGGGTACTCAACATATGAAACCCCCCCCCCGGCGACGTGAATCACCTCAGCGCCTCATCGGCCATCATGATAGCCTCCTCCATTTTATCACCCTCGTCCCTCTTCGCAGCTGCAGAATCAGAGTAATACCCTCCTCCATTACTGCCTTCCCTCTCAGCCCCACAAAGCCTATACTCCCCATCCCCCCTCCTCTCAATAATACCCTCATCAAGCGCCCACCTCGCCAACAGCTTATCAACCCCCAACCGCCCCGCCTCACCCTTCTCCATATGCCGCCCAACGTGCTCCGTCCAGTCATCCCAGCTGCCGGTACCCTCAAACACATTACTGCAGTCAGCCTTGGGGCACGCACTCCGCTGCGGCGGCGAGCGGCGAATCACCAGGCACGACGCCTGCATGTCTTTGACGTGCGTCTCCCACTCGACCTGGAGCTTGCTATCGCCCTTGGCGAGGGCCTTCTTGATCGCAAAGGGGGCGTGCATGCGCCGTAGATGCTGTGTGAAAAGGTCCTTGCGGTTGAACTCGTTGCCCTTGCCCTCGACGGTGCTCTGAGGGCAGCTGGAGCAGCGGTAGAAGGTCAAACACAGATGTTGCGACGCGATGTGGCGCTTCCACTCGTTCTTGGAGCCGAAGGTGCTCGTGCAGCCCGCGAAGGAGAAGGCGCAGGGGAAGGGGCGCGTGTGGGCGGCAGCGATGTGCTTGCGTAGGGAGGAGGAGTCTTTGAATGGTGCGTGGCTGCACATATTGCAGCGGGTGTCTTGTTTTGGGCCGGCCTTTTGGCTTGAGCGGCGGGCCTTGGGGCGGGAGGCGGGGGAGTTGTACTCGGATGAGTAGATGTTGTCTTCCATGCCGGACTCGCCACCGTCATGGGAAGAGATGGAATGTTGTCTCAGGCTTTGGAAACTGGGAGACTCGCCGGCTAGGATATTTGACGCGCCTCTGTCCTGGCGTTTGCTGTCGTGGCTGACTGGCCGGACGTGGCTAAGCGCCTTCAGCTGTATGGCAGCCTCGTGCATCTCATCTGAATCCTCAACATGATCTTTGTGTTCAGGTATAAGACCTGGCTCGGGCGGTGCCGACATGCTTAATGGCGGCGGCGGAGGCAGGCTGTGAGGGGACTGATGTCCGTGCTGGTAGGTGATGTTGGAAGTCGATCCGGCCAGCGAGTCGTTCCTTGCTACGCCAGGGCTCGATGCCGCCGCAAGTGCATCCGCTGCCTCGAGAAGAATCTTTCCATCCTCCAAATTCTTGGAAGATGCATGATTGGCGATGGCGGTAAGGTCAACAAGGCTCTGATGCTCTCTCAACAAGTTATGAGATTTAATGTATCCCAGTAAAATGCACTGTTTGTCTTGCGCAATGGCGTTGTAGACATCAAGAGGCATCGAAATGAGTATAACAGTCGGTGGCCCTTGGAATCTTCCTTCAACTGTAACTTTGGCCGCAGTTGCAGGCGTGCTGTTTAACCAGTGCTTGAAAGATGCCATTTCATGATCAGGCTCGCCATGGAATAAGATGCTCACAAGGGCTCTCTGCTCTTCAAATACCATTCCCGGTCTGGATGCATCCTGTGAGGCCTGCTCTCCGTGGGTGAGCGCTTGGTGAACATCCCCATCTGCTGCGCCGGAAGGCGACGCGATATGTGGCGCCCCCATGGCAGTAGGGGGAACTGGCGTCAACAGTATGGCGCGAGATGAGTTTGGAGTCAATGTGAAGAATATCGGAGTCCTTTCGGACGTGCTATTTGCCTTCCCGGAACCATTGGTAAGGCCATTATGATCCAACGATCTGTAATAGCGCAATGACACAATTAGCTCGTCATGAAGCTGCTGGGCCGTAAATGGCGGCTCAGAGCTTAGTTTATGAAGAGCGTCGATGAGATGATAGGTAAACGAGTGTGGTCCCGGGTCTTGCTCTGCAGTATCTGGTGCAAATGCAGCAATTACTTGCTTCAATCCGTTGCTGCCACTGTCTGGTGCCTCCAGGACAGCACAGCAGTCGAGCAGGAGCAGAATATCGGACGGTGCATCTTCCAAAGGGCTTTTAATGTTATCCCACTTCGCCTTAGAGGAATCTTCTCTCGGATTGCTAGCAAAAGAGTCAGTTGGTTCAGTATCTGACAGTCATGATGCCATCTCACCATGCCCAGTACAACTGATTATCTGTTCCTACATAGCTGTAGCCAACATAGCAGATGATCAGGAGGTGTCCAGGACGAGCGTATTCAACATGCTGTGCGAGTTGAATCGATAGCTTAGAGGTTGGGTTGGGGCAAGTGGGGATGCTCCACGCCTCTGTTCTATAATTGTATCGCTCGCGAAACAACTTCTGGAGGGCCAAGAGGTCGTCGGCGGCACTCAAGTCATCTTCCCAGCGTAACAGCAACACCGATGCACTGCTATACGGAAGTCTGTTGTTTTGAGTCTCTATGACGGATGCAGCACCTTGAAGTTGTCGCGCGAATTGTTCGAGGTCCGCCTGGTCGGGTGAAGGCTGAGGGGGAGGCTGAAGCGCGTCTTGGAGCGACGACGACGCCTGGTACTCAAAAATCTGCTCATTCTGTGCCTAATGAATCAAGTTAGCTCAAGAAGATCATCACAGTGCTGTCTATCTACTCACCTGGTCCTGGATTGGATTTTCAGTCACTTTCGGCGCAAGGCGCCGCTTCTTCGTGAATGGCTCCATCGAACAGGAGTTGCAGTTTGGATCGTGTCAATTGTAGAATCGACGAGAACAGTCGAAAACACTCGATGAAACGCAATAGTAAGAGAACGGTCTCAGGTATAAATCTGATGGTGACAAGGCGGCGATGAGAGTTGTTTGTTGAATGGGAAGGCTACAGAGCCTCGAGTTGATCCGCTCGATCGCCGAGTTAAACGAGGCTGAAGGGCAGCAAATCAGGCTCGGCAAATTGAGGAAGTACGCCTCA